AGTAAAACGTCTTAGCCATACAATTTGAATAGAAATAAGTGTGCGAGTCCGGCAAGATAATTAGATATATTCACAAAGAAAAGAGCTTATTTCTCGTAACCTACAGCATCCGCTGATTACGTTACAAAGTGTATCAGGAAATTCTTTTGGTAAGTTTGCTTCATTTTTTAAGAACCCTCATGTACTGAATGCGAAATAACTAGCATTAGGCATACCGATGTATAAATACAACAAAATGGTAGGGCAATATATCAAAGGTATTCTTTTCTTTTCTGTAGGTCATCATCACTACTTAATATAATCCGTATCGTTTATGTCTTCCTTTTTTGACTTATGTGTATTTGTCAAGTTTCTTTGAGTAAAAATCTAATCACTCTTTCTTTAAAAATTTAAACTTATAATTCAGAGATACAGATTTTTACTCAAAGAAACTTGACAAAGAACAATTATTCAACAAATATCATCAATATCATAGAGTGACGATTTGGTATGAATATGTATATTTTCATATATTTGTGAGTGATCGATAGGTTGTTTAGCAGAGGTTTTATTAATAATTTAACTTTTATTGAATAGTTATGAAGGGAAAAAGTGCAAAGATTACCGTTAAAAAACTAGCATCTACAGTCGTCTATCTATAAACTTACTTTGGAAGAAAAGATATACTTTCAATCGATTAAAAATACATCTATCAACTATTCACAGCGGTCTTACAAGTATTAACTTCTATTCGATGTTATCTTCATATTTTCCTTTATAGTTCAGCTTATTTTAATTTAGGCAATTCTATTGTTATTGTTGTTCATGTTTTTTTTTTCAATTTTGATTCATTCCATAGCTCACCTAATTTGTTTTCTTATATGAAAGACAATGTTTGTTCATAGGTGTATAATTTATGAAAACGTGACATGATTTATAATAGCATTTGTATAAGGTACAATCAGAGAAATAACTTGTTATAATTTGGTAATTGGTACGTTTGATATGGAAGCGTTATATTAGTAACATGAACAAAATACTTATATATCAGTGTTAAGATTACTAAAGTATGCACTCTACAAGTAGTGGTTGAAATATTTCATCAATTATATTTTTCTTTTAAATTAACCGGAATAACAGTATTGTGTTCTAAATGCAGTGAGAAATATCAAAAGAACATGCTCTTAGGTGTACAAAAACACTTTCTTGGAATTGAACCAATGCAGATATAAAATTAATGAAAATATTAACCACACAGTTTGAAAAGTACGAATACGGCATTGTCCATGACTGTGATTTTGAAAAGTCCGAAATAATAAATTCTGTCTATAAGATACATGAAATAGATCTTGATATTCATAAAACACCGTAATTAAGCAGTAATGCTTAACATTTCATTCGATAAACAGGTGATTTAGAGAAAGTTATTTTTTTCTTCTTCATTGCTTCATAAGTAATGAACTGAACACCTTTCTATGGCAACTTGCCTCCCGATAAAGTGTCTTTCTTGTTGTGTTACTGCTGTCGAATTCGTCGTTGTTTACGTTTTTGGATAGTTATATGTTAAACAGTAAGAGCTAGTATGTAGTGTATGTAATTGAGCACATGTTGTTTTCATGTTTTATTGTTCTATTTGTGTTCTGTTGTGTATTAATGAAAAACCTGATAAAGTAAATATAAAATACCCACTTTATTCTAATGTTTATGAACCATCATCTGAGTTTTAAAGTTATATAAATGTAAACAATCAGAGTACCAAATGGTTTCCCGTTGAAAATCATACATGTACATATTTCTATTTGAAGCAACTAATTTCGATATTTGCTTTCATTTGTATGAAATATGAATTGCACTCATTGTGAAGCCATCAATTATCTATATGTACAATAAACGTGCTGACAATTCTTATCTCTTACGACTTATTAAAAATGGAACCCAATTGCTATGTCATATTCAAATGAGAAGGTTCTAGTTTGACTTTTGTTTTATAAAGTATGTTACAAGTTTAACATAGTGTTAAGACATTGCTCAGTGGCCTCAGCAGCTAGTTTTGCGTTCGTGAGCTGCTGTGCTATTAAACTGCTTCCAAGTCCATTGTTAGGTTTACACGACTATCACATGATAATAACAACAACGGTGGAATATTTCCTGATGTTATAGAATCTAATCAAGTAATATGTCAATTACAAGCTATCAAGGGCGTGTCACTCGAAAAACACTGACTGTCGATATAAGTTCTGTTAATGGTATACCGATCTTTAAGTTGACATGGTACCTGCATGAAGTTAATGAGATGGAACTTTTAATACTGAATTTGATCTCAATAGGAAGCAGATATGATTGTTCTGAATATAGCTTCATGTTATGTGTGCTATATTAAAAAAGGGCTTCTTTGACATTGTTAGTTTAAGATCTATCATGTCATTAAACAACCTACTTCATGTTGTCTAGTGAAACCCAGACGATTTGCTTGTGTCATTTATGTATGCGTGGATTGCGTTATGCATACGCCTTAAACAGACAGATTAATGTGTTACTCAAAGATAGTACAGGTAGGTATTAATAGTTTACCTCCCGCTATTAATCAATAATATGGATTTCCTACCAAGGATAAGATACGGATTACATAGCTTACTGTCCCATTCGTTACATCATAGAGTCGTTATTTATCATATATAAGTGCACATAAACACAGGTGCACGATCACTTTCCTGGTCAGACAAGTGCGACGGACTATCTCTATCGGATGTTTATGATTTATGACGGCTAGTGGTGTGATCGACATATACACAAAACCAACAGATTATATTCGTAACAAGGATAATCCACATCGAAAAATAAACCAAACTATCAACATATTTCTGAGAAAAAAATATTTTTTAGAAATGCAGTGTAGAACTTGTTCTAGCATTATGATAATGCCAAGGAGTCAGTCATAACTGGTAAAAATCATCGAGCACGTAAAACCAAGAACAAAGAGTGTCTGACAGCATCGGTGCTATAATTTGGATGGTTTTATGTGTGTTCATTGCTAGACAATGGTTAAGTCTGTGTGTCTATTCAGTCAAATGATAAACTTATTGCACTGAATTAAGATTGATACACACGCATGGAGTCAAAGGAGACACGATTTCTACGAGAGTAAGTATCTCAACACAATATGGTATGGAACCAACACAAATTGATATTGATGTACAATTCTTTATGGTTTTATTTCTAGTCAACACCTAGAGCAATATAATATCCATCCCTGGAGAACAGGAATACATGTTTATGCATCAATCATATTAATGTCAATCCTTTATCTTTTCCCATAAAATATCAACATAAGTATTTAGAGTAGCATATGATGTACTGGAGGCGTTTTAACTTCCTGGTCATCTGATTTCTCATCCGGATTTCTGTCATGGTTTATTATGTTCCTCCGTTTATTTTTTAGCCTGTATTAGCTCTGTTGTTATTTGTTCACATCAGTTTCAGGTTTTATATGTAATGATAAGCATACATCTACTGATTATTAATGTGATACGGCAGTCCCTAAATGCAAATAATTCGCTATTTGTGTATATTCACTGTGCAGGAATTATATTATCAAACGTTAAAAAATGGAATTATTGATACAAAATAAATTAAATGAACGACTTGGGTATGTATCTAAGCAAACAACAAAGAGGTCCATTGTTAATAATTCGGCACTTTACCATATGAATAGTTCATAACTGTTAAGTATGTAAACTCTTTTCAAACTTAAATATCTACTGAAGAAGACACATACAATATCCTGGGAATTCCTCTTTACTTTTTGCAATGTGTCAGGAGTTTACTCAATCCCATGAAATTCAAGTTCAAAGACATGAATCAGCTTCTAAGTAATCCTTGTATAAATCATTAGGGATGGTAATGTATGCAAATCGTGTCCCGTTCTTTATGATTGTGACACGCTATGCCTTAACTATTTACTTACCCACAGGTAGCACACTACGGTATTACTATGTACACCTAACGTAATGTATAAATCGTTATAAGCGGATAATCTGAATTTATTTTTTAGTCCAACTGGTAGAAGTTTATTCGGTATTAAAGTGCAATATTTGCAGGTACAGGTAGACTAGTTGTGTCCCTACCTGAGGCCGTTGTTCTTGTGTTACGAATCCTACGGTGGACTGCATTTCTAATGCCTACCATGTTGCCTGGTTGACAAAGAGTTTCTGATACCTTCCCGTTGTAATATTTCCTTCGGAAATTTAAGTCAATATGAAACTAAGTAAGTACACACCTTTGGTTTATGATTATGATTTGTCCCATAAGTTCAATAATACAGCTAAGATATGTTTGTAGAGTTTTTCTGTATCTATGATTTTGCATAATTGTTTGTCATATTTACATAAACAACTTAATTAAATGGAGTCATCCGTTGAAATACAATTTGATGAATAAAGTGTCATTCTTGTCACGAGCGCACAAACACCAACACTATATCAATGGATTCCTTTGATGTTGAGTTATTCAATTTTGTGTAAACCAAGAAGATTTAATAAATAATATTAAATGTATGTTTTTTCGTTCTCTTGAATGGTTAATGTTACTTTGGTAGTAACATGTTGTGTTTGTATTGATTATTTTCTTGTTTAATAGCAAGAAACGTCCCATCAATTATGTCTATTTCATTGTAAATATTGAGGTGTTATAATGAGTTAACAATTTTACTAGAACACACCATTTTGTATATGTTTGAACTTTTTTCATAACATATCTGTCTTAAGTAAACAGGACATGTCTGGGCAGTTGTTGACACAACTACTTGTAATACACAAGTAAGAGACCTAACATACAGACGTGTAAAATGAGTGTGAAAACACAGTGATCGTATTACATATTAATAAGGGAAAGGAAAATAAAAATTTGCATAAAATAAATGGTTGTGAAATATAATTCTAAACAAAGACGTCATACTTGTGTGTGTCAGCGATTGTTGCTACACAACATTTGATGTCTCCCGTGGTGTAAATGACACCAGTGAAACCTACACTTCACCACGATCTGCTCTTCATATGCGACTAGTGGTCGGGGCTGTATGACAATTTTTTTCAAAATCAATCAAAGGCTCTTAAATCTATTGAAGTATTATGTGGGCCTACACATGTATTGTTCCCTACTCAACGAATGTGTTGTTCCTTACTCAACGAATGTGTTGTTCCTTACTCAACGAATGTGTTGTCTCTAACTATACAATCAACATAAGAGTCTTCTTGGTAATTTATAGATTTATCATAAATACTTCGTAGGAAAAATGCAATATTTCGAATGCATGTGAGAGGTTGAGGTTTTAAGTAGCCATGGTGATCTAACTCCATTATAGACTCGGTATAGGAGGAACGGAAGGACATGAGATGTGTGTATTGGTATGCTGGTTCCAGGGCTCCTATCCCATACTTACACAGGGGGAGACCTTAACCACCCACTTCAGACCCACACATTGTCCACATTCGGATTAATATGTCCATATTGCCTGACTCCGAATAAGGATTTCTGATTATTACATTATTTTCTTAGCGATGTTTGATATAACACGTGAAGTATTCGTAAGGGTCCTTAAGTAAGTAAATATTTAATTCAATGGTAAATTCAGGTAAAGATAATATTTATACACAGACATATGATACCAAGTCTTCAATTATTAATATAAATGGATTTAAAGAATGATTGGTTGACAACACCATAAACCAAAATAAACATACGCGGATGCTGTTCATAGTCTCTAAATTAAAAAATCGTTGGAGCAGAAAATATGTTATGGAAAATAGATTAGCGGATAAAATTTCTATAGATAAAATCTTTAGATACAGATAAAGTAAAATATATATATATCTACATCCGATGAGAAGTAAGTTATGTTATATATTCCTCCGCTTAGAGGAGACATGAAGGGTGGACATTTAAATGACAATTTCGTCAGTAAGGGTTGTGCAAACAGGCCAACGTGCCGTGACAATCGAAGGTGCGAATCTCATCAATAGAGCGGCGCGCTAGACCTGATGTTCACTACGTGGTAAGGGTCGAGTCTTGTCACTTCAGCTGTATGGTACATTACGTTATATTCTGCTTAAATCGTTCACTTGGAAATATCGAACTGAGAATTCTGTAACATCGGGTAGTCTTACAAGCATCATCATGCTTAATTACATGAAATATGGGTTTTATATATGACAGTAAGATATTATACTAATCGGAATCACGTACGGCGAATTCTTGAGTAAGTGCTTCCAAGCACGTGACTTGGTGGTACAATCATACGTAAAGTTGAAATGTGATGGAATTTATTATTGATGATTTTCAGGTAAAGTAAAGGCATTGGCCCGATGGGAGAGACTGAGGCAGTATGTGAGGGCCGGATGTTATAGACTACTTATCCCACCGGAAGAATATTTCAAAACTTTGGCAGACATGGACGATTTAATGTACCGTATGGACACCAGGGAGCGGACATTTTATGAACGACAGAGTCGGTTTCGAAAACCGAAAGGACTTAACAGGGAATTATCGAGACTTTCTTCTAAAAGTTTGTCAACAGGAAATTTGAGTTCGAGGAGTGGAGAGAGTTGTTTTAATGGGGATAGTGTGTCCAGCGTTGAGGTTCCGCCACTTCCGGTCATTCCTGATATGTCACCAACTCCCACAAAGAAAGAGTATGTGGAGGATTACGACTATGACGCAAATGAAGGTAATCAATATCACACTTTAGATTGGTTACCCGTGTATATCATTGCTCTGTTTGGACAATATCCAGCTTGTCTACTCGAGCTAACAAACTGAAGTTTTGATATTTTAAGCGTATTAGAACAGAACATATACTAAAACAAATGTCCTTGAGCAATATTTGAAAGTTTGTTATTATATTGAACCAGGCCTGGCTATGGAACTAATTATATTAATTGGAAATTCCTATTGGTCAATACATGATTAAATCATCAAATATGCTCTACTCTTCGAAATTTGTAATGACACACTGTCCAGCGTACAGGGATCAATAAGATGTATTACAACTATACGAGGACTAATATTATAACAGAAACTAAACATACAAAACTGGTTCTCGTCTAAATTCTAATTAATTAGCTGAAAAAAAATATACGAAGCGTCTGAATATATTCTTTATTGTATTAGCATACAGTCAATCCAGCAGACACGAAGGTCCAATGAAAAAATTGAATAGTGACGATAAGAGAAAAAGAATTTGAAGACTTAAATATGGAGGTTTAATATTGTCTTTAAAATGTATTTAAAAAAGGATATTTAATAAATATATATAAACTCGTCATAGCAAAAGCAGAGAGAAAAAGTTATTGATATAAATCTATGGCAACAGGAAACGTGGAATCACAAACCAATTCATGTTTAATGAAGATTGAAAAAAGAATGTTGTCTCGTTGAGTTCATATCAGACTATAGCAAACTATTTGTATCTACCTGTTTTCGATATACTTGATATAAGTGTTATAACTTTTTGCAACTTTATTTACATAAATGTCGTCACAAGAAACAAATATAATACTAGTATGAGCATGTTTAAATTGATATAACAGTCGGTTGAAACTAATGGTTGTGATTTCCATTTTCTGGATGACGTATTTAACATACCTCGCTATACTTCGTGGTAGTTACTAAGTGGTCAACTTACTATGGACACAGTCAAACCCAAACACACACATTTAGACACTTAGCTATCTACTTCAGGCCATGTCACATAATCATTTATCAATTACTTTACTGACCATGCATATCGTACGTTATTCAAGGCGATTGTCAATCGGAGAAAGTCAATTTCTGTTCCGTAAAAGAAAATACCCATTGATAAAGTTGGCATCAGACCGTGTATACATGGTAATTGGGTTTAATGGTTCACAGTGGTCAAATCAAAGGTATTATTTTATGTATGACAAAAGACGAGTGGTTTTGCAATGAAGTAGACATCGATGATTTTAAATATGGTATGAGCACAACACTTGTCACAATTGACATCATTTAATCTCATGTCGCTTTTAACGGTTAGATCTTAAAGTGTATAAATATATCCGATGTTATAGCTTGCGTATGTGAATTTATCCGATGTTATCATTTAGATCTATAGATCAACAAATTATATACAGTAGTTTAAACATAAAGTATATTGATCTACTTAATAAAACGGTTTCAGTTTAGAATGAATATGATTATATTACAGCAGTATACCTACCTTCCCATCCGATTTCATTTGAGAGATATATAAATATACCCAATGTTAGTATTGACGCATATGATATTATGTCTCATGTCAATATTAAGCATATGGACTTTCCGTATATCGTTATCGAGGTATACAAATATACCGAATGTTGCAATCGCAGTATATAATTTAAATCTATCCAAAACCATTACTGACGTTTGTCTACCTGTCATGTTTAAACTATAAAATACTTTAGCTTGCTTCTGTTAAGTGGTATGCTGCTTATTAAACTACATTTAACCACTCTTGAATCTTGAAAGCTGGATAAAACGATTATTTCAATATTAATATTAATAAACAATATATCAACCCCCAGTAGGCATTCACACAGCAACACAATGGCACTTCCTGTAGCAGCATAACAGTGCACGTCACTACACAAATATCCGTACACATTTAGTGAATATTTAACACAATGGTCAAACAAGCACACCCAGAGTTCTAGAGCTCAAATAGTTCTATGCTCATCCCTAATACAACAATCCTCATCTCTCTATCAATTGTATTGTAACACATCTAGCATTCTAGTCACATATCCCAGGCTCGCTAACGCTCACATCTTAATATAACATTTTCACGTATCACTAATAATCTTGCCCTAACGCAGTAGTTGTATATTTTCTTATACTCACAGCCTCATTCCACAATCTTTGACTCACTTATACTCACAGCCTCATTCCACAATCTTTGACTCCCTTACACTCCTACAGTAATAGCTAAGTCCCTATCTCTCTTACAATCACAGCAGCTAGCATTTTATCGTGTACTCTATCACACAAATTAGACAAAAAACAGAAAATAAGACTTTTTCTCGACTCATTTCTCTCCTCAATACAATTCACCATGTTAAACATTTTAAAATCAAGTCGAAGGGGAAACTAATAGATCAGTCTTAAGTTTAATGATCTATTCAGAGTTTTCATACATTCAGGGGAAAACATGTGGAGTGTCATTTATTAAGATTATTTTTCCTATATAAATCATATATGTATATCTATCTTACATATCAAACGCATTATTTTGTGATGTCGTAATGCTTCCGAACTTGGCCCAATCGTTTCTTATGTTCTCGAAATGATTGCTTATAAAATCATTATTTTAATTAAATATAAAATACATAATGACCCTATCGGCTTTTCCTTTTAAGGGTAAGTCACGATAATTACGTACTGTGCCTTTTAACCACCACATATTGTACAAACAAAATCCTACCAGGATCAGTATAGAATGTAGACAAAGGTCAATTTAACAACGAAACAGGTGGCTGATTAGCTATACCGACTATAACTTTCTATTGTCCTACGCCCGAACAAGGGTACCATTACGTTTAATGGTCGTTTGATGGTTGTGACAATACATTAAGAAATGGACGTGAATGTATATTATATGGCCTAGTAATAGAATATAACAATAGTTATACCGATTGGGTTGTGGATGAACGCTGGATACCCAATATATCGCTGATTAAATGATCGTTTCACATTGAACTAGTGATGACTTGGGGTCAGAGTAAACGTTTTCGATTTCAGGCATAGTAAACAAAGATTTTCAAAAATAATATTAAAGTGACTCCTTCCCTATTTAGGTGCATGTTATGCTTATTAAGCAATAGTATACGGATTTGAAGAATATGCGACAGGCTTACTAATATTTTAACAAACTACACGAGCTAAACCGGCAGTGGAGGTAGGAACTACTTCTATATTGTTAATACAAAATCCTGATGTTCAAAACGATATTCAAAATTTCTGATTTTGTAACTGTAGGGGAAGCGAAAAAATGAATGTGCGAACAATAAAAAATAGACATTCGCCGCTTCGAAGTAAAAATGATAAAAATGGTCACCTTTAATGAATTTATTACGGAGAAATCTCACCCGGGGGGGCGGGGTCTCTGATTGTTTAACCCAAGGCTTGTTTCTCATTATCATAACACAATAATTTCACCTTAAAGTTGATGATTCTCTTAAATAAGTATACTCACCACAGGGGGGATTGCTTTCCCCACATACAATCGATATTGTCTTCTAAACAATGAATGTCATTATCTGTATACGTTTTCTTTCCTATTTTACATTTGTGATATCTTGATGTCATATTTTATTGTTCTTTTGACGTCACCTCATTATTTCTTTTGAGTGTTTTACAAAGTCACGTCATTGTTCAACATGGAGTACTGTATGGGGCTACAATGTGATGCCTTAAGGGGGTTACAGAAAATATTTAAACCAGTAGAAAAACGGGAGACAATTTTGTGGGAGAAAGAAAACTTCTCTCGTAGAAGGAAGATTTTAATTGCCTAGAATGATGATTATACTGTTTTACCCCGAGGGTCGGGGGGCGCTTTGTTACACTCAGAAGCACAAAGCAGATCCCTAAATGTCGTTATTACTGATAATTTTTGGATAATTATTTTATCCTTGTATTTTGCTGCCCCTATACATCGTCCGATTCTAATTGTCTTATCATTTTGTTATTCATAAGCATAAGGTGTACATTAATAGTTCATAGGATTTGAAACTGAACTGAACAAAATATGATTTGTATTACTCTCTATAGGTAGATATCGACTGGTAAAGTTAAAATGCTTTCAAATGGCCAATAGTCCGACCTCACCTTTCATACTCAAACTATACAAACATGACTGTGTTTAGGCAGGGATTAAAACATGTCACTTGCCAGTTGTAATTGATCGTTATTTAACAGGTTAATCTCAGTGGTATAACCATACTTATTCTTAATATAGGTGCCTATAATATTTAATAAAGCGCGGCTCAGTACACTTATGTAATCCCAGTTCGCCTTTTCAATATTTACGATTTAATATCCATGCATGAATATAGTTATATTGACACGTAATATTTGTGTTGAATACACTTAAGTTCACAGATACACCAATATATAATTAAAAACATCAACCCTTGATTTGCCTAAATATCAAAGGCAACCTAGCATTTTAATTTGGAACATATATTTAACTAATGTGTCATTCAGATTTGTTATAGATCGAAACCTTTTTATGTTCTTTTTGTTTCCTTTTCACAATCATAACATCCTTTACTTACCGATTCTCAACACAACCACATCAGAATTTTTCAATATTCTTCCGTCGTATTTAAGATGTATTTTTTCTTTTTTATTTAATAAACAGTTTCTACTAATTACTAAAGTTCCTTTGCAAATATCATCCAAACAACTGACGAAGCCTCGTCGGTGTGGTTTCTATCGAAACGAGTCTCAAATAGATTGATGATTCTTAATTTTGCGAAATTACCATTTAGTAAGTAAAATGCTTACTTTGTTAGGCTAGCTAATAAATATTTGCTGTTTCTTTCTTATGTTTTATTGATGATATTCTAACTTTTAGATGTGAAGCTGGAAGACGTGAAGACATTCGTGACGCCCCGACGGAAAACGACGAAGACGGCCGACATATATTTATTGGCGTGTAAACGGTGTAAAGCTACCGCCCTGTCTAATTATACTCGACAGCTTCAGGCACCCATGACAGCCTCCATCGACCTTGCCAACAACCTCATCACCGCTCATGATACGAAGGCAATAGCGGTTTCACTCGTGGTACGATCAGGAGAACCTTTTTATCATTCAAAACACAAAAGAAATTGTCTTCATTGTCATAATTGCAGAATAAACATTTGTTCTGAGTCTTCTTCTCTGACTACATAAGCCAAGTTCATTAAATATGATTAACTGTTAATTGCACTTGAGCTTTGTTAAGAAATACACCTTTGATATTGTATGGTTTCAGAGAGATAAGAGGATCGTCAGTGTTGACTTATCGAACAACAAGTTGGGACCTCTGGGAGTCATGTACATAAGTGAAATGCTCGTCAGGAACAGTACATTAATGGAACTGGTATGTACTTACGTGAGACACGATTGAACCTAAAGGTAACTGCACCAACGTGTGTGTGGCTCACAATGTTAGCATGTTAAATTAAGTTACAAGAGTATCATTATGTAACACTAACGCTGTTGTCTGCTTAACATCTGTATGGTGCAGTGTAATTCGTTTTCAGACATACTGTATCTATTGCCAAGCTTTATAGATGAATCAACTGGGTGCGTCTAACAGTCATCCTCAAAAGCGTTACATAGTGCTACTTATATACATAACTGCCTTCAAATGACACTGCAATTTTAACAATTTATAAAGCAATTTACTCGTTTGACAACAACACTGAAACCTGATCGAGTTGATTAAAAGGTTGACATTTTACACAATAAATCATGAGTGTAGATTATAAAGGACCTCATAATTTCATAGTTTGATTCTTTGAAGTAATTAAATCATACTTTCATAACATGTTGACAAACATGCCCCCCTTGCTCATGTTCTGATGATAATTGGGTGAAAATATCAAAATGAACACGTGAATTTCAAAGTACAATACTTTTTGTCCCCTTCCCCCATCAATCATTGTTACATACTACTGTCAAGTTTAATTAAACACATAGCTAAAATCTAGTGACACAAGATGGGTATCAACCGTTGTGTTTACACAATTAGTATTCTGTAACAATCATATTATGCAAATTTCTATAACATCTATAAACAACGAATGACTGAATACCTCATGCAATATAACATCCGAACTTGGTGTTTAGATGTTTACATTGACTAAGAATGCTATAAACATCCTGTTATATACTTTCACACTGATGTACTATGATCACACCAACAGTATATCTAATATATATCGCCAACCCGCTGTTGCAGGACACTCAGAATTTAATTTTTTGAATTTAAACTACCTTCCTTCACGTGCTATGTGTATCGTTCATTGCCGTAGGAAGATATATTGCTTGTAAATTCATTATCCTGAACAGACTTGCTTCTCTGTCTCGTACACATTTACATAATGTCTGCAAACATGTTGCATAACTATTCAACATAAACAGTTGTGATGACTGACCTTGTTGTGTATGGAATTGAACATTTGATATTAACAAGGATGAATTTTATTTAACTCGAATAAGCAAGGCAGATTTCGAAATTTTAGAAATATGTTACTTTTTAAATCGTGGGCAATACCATGAAATTAACATCTTAAGTTAAATAACTTTATTTTTATATTATTCTCTAAGTCATTTAGAGAGAAGTGAAAAAGTGACACGGATTTTATAACGTCTATATCAGCACAGTCGTGTATAGACATGTATGTTGTACTTGACATTTAGACGGGAACAAATCTGTGACAAAAGGTTTTAGCTACGTGTCGTCAATTATTAAACTTTAAACTATTCATAACTTCAAAACCTTTAATATTGATATGGTAAAAGACATAAATCATCCTTATAGGACGTGAGGACATCCCTATGTTATGTTATGTTCAATTGAAATGCTAGCACAACATTTGTACTTTTTACAATGTATAGATTAATATTGCTTATTTACCTACGTAAAACACACATTTTCGATTATGTATCGATCTGAAGGAATTGATACTTTAGTCCATTGTTATATATGAAAATATGTGTGCTGCATAGGTATATGGTCAATCATTCTTAACCCACACATGAACAGATTTGTAAAGAACCGTATTGTCAAACCGCACATCCTGATATCTCTATCGCAAAAGTCTGTCAGAAAGTCGATATTGAAATGAATCGGGATCACTAGAGGTTAATGGCAAAGTAAGGAACACCACATACCCCGTCCAGAACTATATCCTAGCAGGTAGCTATCGACCACACTGGGTATCACACAAGTATTCACATTCCTTGTATCGAGACAAAGGAACAGTAATATCATCAGTATCACGTATTGAACATGATAGTACAGTTGTTCTAACATCTAACATTTGAATGTGTCCTCAATAGAATCCTTTATTACGTTAAAACACGTTTCATAATTACGTACCGATGCGAATAGGCAGACTAATTATATCGTAATGACAAACACACGTATAACAACAGTTTAATAGGGGGAACTGTCAACAGTAGTGACATAATCCATATACTGAGAACAGTTAAATCAACAAGACTGTTTTGTTCTCTTTGATCCTCTAATAATGACAATACTGTTACAACCTTTAAAACTTCATAACAGGGATCAAGTTATTTGTATCTTATTAATTTAGTGTCAATAAATTACATAAAAATCGAACTATCACATAATTATTACAGGAACAAATCGGTACATATGCAGCAACTGGAATTGAAACTATTTTGTCAATACAAATATAATGAAATAAAAGTAAAACATGTTTGTCAAACTACGCGATCACATTAAAGAGACATTGTATGGTTGTCTCGTACGACATCCTCCAATAAATGAAAATATTGTCTTTCCCATTTTTATATGTCCCGATATCCTTTTATCTCCACATTTCCTGATAATCAATGTAGTACTGTGTTGCTGTCTTTAAACATGTGCTACCCAGGTAATCATGTGATAAGTACATGTAGGTGATTAGCTCATGTCTGTTATTTCAGGACCTGTCTCAAACCTTTCCTGGTCCTGAGGGGCTAGAAGTTCTGGGCGAGGCAATGCAACACAGCGGTTCTCTCCAAGTTCTCAAGCTCGAAGGTAACTCATTGATACATACTGTGACACCATGCGAGAATAGCTTAAAGCAGGGAACACATCTGTTTATGTCACACTGATTAGTGTAGTTTGTCTGAAGGTGGAAAGCTGCGTGTTAATACTGCCACATCTAGAATTATAGTTTGTTTCAAGTTAGAAAGTAACACTATAATATTGTAACATCCAGAGTTGTAGTTCGTTTGTTTACCAAATGCATGTCTGTATACATTTACGAAAGTAGCGATAATAACATAATCTGGTCAAACAATTTACAGACAACAGGACAGCATGTTCTGTATACATGCTCGACCAATGTAAACTTAACTGCATGCTGTCTGGTCAAACGTTTTACATACTTGGAAAGCATAACATGTTTAGCTACTTACCAGCTAACTATCTTTATGTTCGAGAAATATCATCATCGCAATGTATGTCTTTATCTGCTTGTTCAAGTCGTCATGTTATGACGTAAAAGAGGTAAGATTGGATATCATTAAGCAGTGACTCTTATATTTCTAAATTACACACACATGTTCATTCATTCTGAATTTCGCTGTCCCTATATCAATACGTTTATTAACCATTTAAAATCTGAATGTTAGTGTATTCTTTTTTTCTATGATGCTCCTGCCTTTGTTATATTGTATGCAATGGCGGAAGCAAGTCAATGCATATTTGAAATTCATCTACAACAATCGTAAACATCATATCTATTTTATTTATTTTGACTAAAAGTGTGATTTATTAGCTATGATTGCATCCATGATGGTTTTGTTTTTCCATATTTATATTTTGACATTTTCTATGCTAGTATGAATTTTGTATTTAACAATTTGTTGGTACATCTCTTCAATTCATCAAGTCGATCTTTTTAATATTTCAGGGAATAATATAGAGCATACGGAAGTTAAGACAATCGTTAAAGTAATGCAGGTAAGAGCTTGTTAGATAGTATGAATATAATTCAACTAACGAGAACTATTATTACCATATCTTATCTTTAAGTATATTTGTACTAATTTGATCTAATTGTCGAAATATTGTGAGATATTATTATTTTTGTAAGGAAATGACCAAGACGTTTTTGTCTAAAAATGACATTCGTTTTGTCGGCTGTTGATATTTTCAATATTTGTTTTTAATTGAGATTTCTTGGATACATTCACCCTGATCGGTTTCAAGCAAACCTTCTCATTTTCTAGAGCGTGCGGTTACAAGAGCTTTATCTGGGCCACAACTCTCTGGGCTATCAGGGCTTCAGCGCCCTGGCAAGTGCAATAGGTAGGTCAATACATAGTCCACTTTGTTTTTTTGACCATAAAATTAAGGGGAAAACATTCGGAAAAAAGACAGATTAAACAGTGAAAAACTTACTTGACGTCTAATACAAATATTTTTCATATATAGCATTTAGGGTAGTAATGTTGTCGTTATCTGTGTTAAGAATATCTCATGAAAACGATTATCGGCATTGACAAACAGGTTTTGTATCACTCTCGACTTACAGTCCCTTTAATAACTCAAGCCATCTTTGATATATATAATCGAGTACACATATATTATCCAAAACACATGCATTCAATAAAAAGTGTTTTTTCTATTTCATATTGCTAAATTAATTCATTATTTACACTCAATGTATGATAAAAAAAAAAACCATACAAATATATCTTTTCTGTTGGCAAATCGCTGCTTACGCTCAACCTTTAAATTTAAAACGCCAACGCAAATTGATATTCTATTTATGTAAACTCCCGTCGTTATAATATAATGGAAATGTTTGCATTTTAACATATGTCTTTATCATAGTCAACAGACATGCTAAGCCAGACGAAAAGCATGGTTATAATGACGTAATAAATGCATTAACAGTTCGCTGAGAAAGGGGGAACCTGTGCACATTATTTGTCAATGTAAAGTGCATATGCATTAATATCTTATACGCATAACAATTTAAAATCCTTTGGTGAATAGTTGTGCGTTTAGAAAATCTGTGTATGCTTATCTTCACACAAAACATCTAAAGGTGTTTTTGTGAGGGATCATCTATCCAAATAATTGATTATATAGCTCTTCACGTCTGCATTTTAGAATCCTTGCAAAGACGTCCTGTAAATACCACCCTTTTATTTGTTATATTATGTGCACATTGCTTGCTTAAATGTATAAAAGTGATTGTAAGCCTTTGTTTTTTGTTTTTCACAATTATAACCATTACTATTATCCATATGTTTTAAAGCGCTTTAGAGTAATTTTACAAATTATATAGGGCGCTATATAAATGTTGTATATTTCATTATTTATTATTCTATAATGGTAATCGCGGGTACCTTTCGGACAGGTTAAATGAACATGACCTAAGTTAAGGTTCTAGATTTTGATCATAATAGATATTGACTTTTCATTTGTCCACATGACGACTTATTACAGAAACTAATACCACACTGCGGATACTTGACCTACAGTGGAATCATATCCGCCGTGACAGCGCCAAGCAAGTGTGCAAGGCTATAGCGGTATGATGACACTTTGATTACTACACGATATAAAGCTGATCGTTGTAATGAATGAGAAAAGCAGGAATGAATAAAAGTTGTACTATTTATCAAATTCTTACTCAATATATATCTATATTAAATCAATCTGAAATATGTAATATAAAAAAGTATCTTATAAATGATATTAAAATGTGTACATGTATATGCCTTGGTTTTCTCGGTTTAGGGAATCGCCTAACTCAACATGAGAGTGAAATATCAAATTAACAAAAAACACTCACATACTTTGAAATTTAACACAAAATACCTCGACGGCAAAATCGAAAAATCGTCTGGGGGAAATAAAATATATAAACTGTTTCCCTAATGAAATGTATATTGCTAACAATTGATCCAGGCGAACAAAGGTCTCAGGACTTTAAACCTAGCCTGGAATGGGCTTGGAAAGGAGGGATGCATCGCCTTATGTAGGTCACTACCGAAAAATGTCACCCTACAAGAACTCGACTTGAACAGCAACCGGATAGATACTACGTCACTCAGGTTTCTGCTTCATGGTCTGGTCCACAACACGTGTCTCAAGTGTGTGCGGGTACGTCAGATGTAGTAGCAAATGACTTGTTTTGTATATAGATTGTAAAGATTGGCATGTCTGTATTTCATAGCTGCTCGACGCATTGTGTTTATTTACTTTTTTATTCATTTTGAATCTTAATATTTTATCATTTAAAAACCCACCTTGTTTGGGTTGCCTGGGTGAAACTTTGTTTATCATCTGTCTACGCACTGGAAGAGCGGCATTCCCTATTTATATTCAGCTACTCGATCGTTCAATCATAAGAGCTTTCGTTATTTTATATGTCACCTTTTCAATGGGTATTTTCAACGTATGAAATAGTCAGATTTTAACTACTGTATTATACATAATGACACCTGAATCATGCATACCGACTTTTGCACCATACACATGTGCTCTCGTGTCATACAACTGTTTTGTTATATACTATGATTATTGTGGCAATCATACTGATTACCACGGCACACATGGCAATTTACCTATCGTATCCTACACATACTAGTATACATAATGACTATCTTACCAGTGTGACAACATGTACACAATATCTTGTATACTGATATTTTGGACTTTGGACTTTTACTTTTTTCTTAACATGTAAGCACAAAATCTTTAAGTGCTATAAAACTAATAAGACATTTCATCTATTCCTCACAGCCATGTATGAAACTTTATACGAGCAAATTCCTACAATATATATTAGATACTATTGTCAGCCATTCTAAAATGTACCTTTATATTGTACATAAAGTTAATACTTTCTTCCTTACCATTACTGTATTATCAATAACAAGGTTAATCCTGTATAATCCGTGAGTTCAATTATTTTGCTCTTCTATATGAGCCTTTCATATCTCTTTGCACAACTACCCTATATCATTGTTCTACAGTGTGACCTGTTTGACCTTAGCGTGTGGTTTAGTAGTTATAGACATAACGAATATACAATATAAATATATATGAAAACCCATGTGACGTAAACTTGTACCTTGGTTCGATTATAACAATGAATATGTAAATTATACTCATCATAATGTCCGATCACGAAAATGTATGTCACCAATGTGTTCGATTTACATGTGTTTTACTACATATTCATAGTTTTATAACTTGACATTATATTTCATGTATCAACAAGATGTTCCCTGCATTCATTATATTGTTGACAGATCGGCCGAAACCCTCTAACAACAGATGGTGCTAAAGCAATATTACGTGCCTTACAGTCCTCCAAAAAGTCAGTTATACAGGATTTAATTTTAGAAGTAAGTCAATAATTAATATTGGAGAAATATTGCCGAAAGGATGTTCGAGCATTTCTCATTAATATCAGGTATGTGACGGTCGTATAGGTGGTGTTCTCAAGTAATTCAGCAGAATATTGTTTGAACGTTTCCGAGAAAGAGGTAAAAAGTACTTATAATACTTCTCGCTTTGAAAATCTTATAAATATAATTTAGTGAATGAAGTAACAAAACAAACATATTTCCCTTATAACTTTTTTGGTTAGTATGTACAACCCGTTTCGCATTTCATTGCAGGATGTTTCCGTAGATGATGAGTTCATGACATTGCTTACCAAACTCCAGGAAACAAAGAAAATGAAAGTAGTCCACGGGGAAATACTTTCTTCTGGAATGAACATAAAGGAACGGAAGCATGACCCTCATGATCTAAACAGATTTGATCCCGTTTTAGTTTTAGTGGAATATATGCGCATAGACAATCTTCGTCTTATAGACTTTTTCCAATATCTTGATACGACAAATCGGGAACAGCTATCTAGGACGGATTTCCGCGATGGAGTAGCGGTAAATTGTTACAATGTATTATATCATTCTCTGAAAATTCGTCGCACTTCTGATCATTGCTTTTTCGTTCGATATAATGTATTAACCCATATATGTAAATAACCTTTACTAATCTTAGAAAACAATGTAAACTCATACGCAGATAAAGTTAAATAGCACTGCTTACATATCAGTATGGATTATGAAAGTTTTAAAATCTTAAATACATATTAAGTTAAGTAAGCAGGTTTGTATCAGTATTGTACTTGTTTATTGCAAAAGAGCTATTCTAACTTGACCTTTGACATTTAACAGAATCTCAGGATTCCTCTTACGGAACATCATTTGGACATTGTCATGCAGACGCTGGATTTAAAGCATGATGGATACGTGGATTTAGAGTAAGTTTGCAAATGTAAATATTTTTTTCCGAACCAGTAAAAATATATTGCACTGCATTAGAGATAATGCCCCTTTCATGATTCATCGATGATCATTATTATCAAAGGAACTGTTAATTATGGTAGTCCATCAACAATAGTTTCCTTTGAAGTGGATACATAGGAAAGCAATTATGATTCAGACATCAATAACAAACATATAACTTGTCAAGTAAATCAATTGCATTTCAGGGGTTTTGGTATATAACATGAAGTAACAGTAACTTGTGTCCATGTTGCTTCCAAAAGCGTTGTATTTATTTCATTTACACATTTTACAAATTTATAATTTGTAGCTCATCACTTAATACATGCATAGCTAATACATTTACTGTATGTTTACATTGTATATGGTATTAACCCTTTCTCCGTCAACAGAGAATTCATGACAGTCCAGAGAGATGTTCAGCGCCAGATTACCAACAGAACTACTAGGGCCAGGCGGCGCACCGGCAAAGACGACGAGGGGCTCCTAGGGCTCCGAAAAATTCTTAAGGAACTTATAGAAAAAAGGAACAAAGAAAACAAAGAAAAGGCGAGTAACCAGGGTCCTAAAACAGCACGTGTAGAAACTAAAACCAAATCTCTGACTGTCACTAAGCCTGTTCTTATACGGAAGGGTAAAACTAAAACTGCATCTTAGCACTAGCGGTAGCTATAGATTTTGGAATAGATACGTGGAAGTACTGCATTGCATACCATCGCATTAGAGGAACATTGACAATTGTTATTTCCTTTATGCAATGGACATATCATACATGCCAATTAGTGGAAGCTTATTTTCTCTTCTTTTTGATAATATGCATAATGTTTTCGTTATTGCATGTTCTTTTCAATTGAAGTTGTATTTGTAAAGAGCTTCCAATTCCAGCAGAATATTCATAAGGTTTACTTGCATGGAATGCACTCTAATATATACGATACTTCCATTCATTGGAATTTTGTGACCTGAATCAATCATATGATATAATTCATGTTATGTTGTTATCGATCCCCACCACGATATATAAATATATAAGCTATATGTTTAGATATTTTCAATAATATACAATATATAATCTAAATAGCGATATATTTGTTTATCGTTGGTTTTGTTATAACTAATATTGATCACATTAATCCTTGATTACCTTATACATCTGAAATGTTGTACAAATATATTCTCTTCTATCAAAAATAAAGATTGAAGTTTTCTGTACCTTACCTTGTCTTTACACAGAAACCCAGCCATGTCTTGTGTTGATTTTCTCCCTATTTCTTTGATGTATGACTAACTTAGGAAAACACGTTACTAACACACAATCGAAGTTTTATTCACCATGTCTTTGTTTAACTGCATCATTTGATGAAAGAATGACGAAATTAAAATCAAAGCAGTATTGAGCTTCGAGGCAATATAGTTCGGCAATTTTCTCTATCAACGTAGAACAATATATATTGAATGTTACTTTTGAAAACAATAGCCAGTATTTTCAAGCTTGAAATATTTATTTAGTACACTTAGTGTGAATGCCTATAAGATATCACTGGTTAATGCATGGCATAAAAGGTGCTTTGAAATGCATATAAACGAGCATGTGATGATTATTTGAAGCAGCTTTAATACCACATTCAACTTGCTGTGAACTGCATTACAACAAACACCGATTAGGCAAGAGGTTTTTTGACGAATGCAGTGTTTAAACAAATAGACAGCCATGCTGTAATCACTTTGTTATTGTAATGGTTGATCATCGAGACACTCACGTGTGTCTCCTGCGATATCAAAGAATAATACCATGCGAGGTGAATAAAGAACCCTTCTGACAAGGTGCGAGGTAATGTATGAAGATGATTCACCATGATAGGAGGCTCAGGTAAGGTTTGTTCATTTTTCTATCCGTATATGTTTTATTCTTAAACCTTTCCGTGGACTTTCTTGCATGTGGTATTCTTTTCTATTTCCTGGAAACCTTCTATACATATAACCAAGATTGTATTATCTTACAGGCCATAGAAAAATTGGAAAAGATATCTAATTCTAGAGCAGTACAGCAAGTTTAGGTACTTGCATACGGTAAAGAGTTTTGTCTCCACACCAAACTGACCACTTACCACTGGTCCTGCAGGCACATCCAACTCCCCAAGATTAAAGTAGCACTAATATCACTCTATTTTTGTCACAGTTTACTGTTTTTGTGAAAGCAAATATTTTTTTCTACTTAAAACAATTATTTTCCCTCCAAGACAATGTAACGAAAGCACAACATAGCAATACAATTTATAATTCCTTTGACAATACTTTCTTTAAAATGATGATTCGAATTAATGATATCGATTCGGATAATGTCATTGAACCGAAATCAACATAATAGGAATCAATGAAGAAATGGTATCAACTTTCTGATGTTGGATATATTATATTGATTTATTCAGGAATGCCAATGTATAGCATTGTTATCCTGACGTTTTCGTTAAAATATAACTACATACATTCCAAATCAGTTTCTGTATCACGTGTTACTTAATACTAAAATGTGTGGCGTTTAAGTGGTGTTTCTTAAACAATGACACGATACACAAATATCATTTTTTCATGTAATATAACTAATGCCAAAATGTTCGGATGGAAATCTTTCACAAATATCACATTATAAAATTCGAAACAATTATATAAATTAAAACTATATCACAACAAACAATTGAAAAATGACAACCACATAAGTATACAAATAGATAACCTGTATATAATATATATATATATATATATATATATAAAATGCATAATGTACCGGTTGCAAAAGAAATTATGACCGTAACAGCGTCCATTTTAAACACGGACACATTTCTATCATTTATTAGCTCATCTGGTCCGAAGGACCAAGGTGAGCTTATGCCATACCGTGTCGTCCGTCGTCTGTACGTCAACAATATCTTTGAACGACTTCTCCTTCTTAACCACTGATTTGAATTTGACTTAATTTGACTGGAAGCATCCCTGGGTTGTGGGGATTCAAAATTGGACAAATTGTGGGGCTGCGGGTCAAAAGAGGGCAATTTGGCTATATTGCTTTAAGCGACTTCTACTCTGGAACTAAGAGATCGATATCAACCATATTTAACTGGAATCGTCCCTATGTGGTGGAGATTTAAAATTGTACAAATGGGGGGGCTAATCCCCCCCCCCCCACCACCACCACCACCACCACCCCAACCACCACCCCAACCAAAGGAGCCAAAGGGGGCAATATGGCTATATTCCTATAAACGACTTCTTCTGTAGAGCAGTGCCATGAATATCGATCATGTTTGGTAGGAAGCATTCAGCATTCATGGGAGGCAGGGATTCAAAATTGTACAAATGTGGGGCTGACCCCCTCTGGCTAAGGGATGGAGCCAAAAATAGTTTATTACTTGGAAATGGTCGAGATTCCCATCGTTCAACCATGTATACAATTGCTGAGTATAAAGAGAAGAATGCATATTTGCCTCCAGGCTGGCTCCACCCTTGGAGACATAGTCCCTTGGTCATAACTTTGAAACGGTTAAGTTACCCACCCCAGAACTTAATATACAAATGCTGGGCATAAAGAGACGAATGCAGTCATGATATTAGAATAGACCTTTGGATCTGACCGAAACCCCTAGGGACCTAGTTTCTTAGTCACAGCTTGGAAACAGTTGAGATCCCTACCCTATAACCATATATACAATTACTGAGTATAAAGAGATGAATGCACATATGCTTCCAGGATGGCCTTGGGGTCTGTCCCATCCTTGGAGACTTAACTCCTGGGTCATTACTTCAAAATGGTTGAGATCCCCACCCCAAAATTATAAATACAAATGGTGGGCTTTAAGAGACAAATGCAGTCATGATATTAGAATTTATCCTAGGGTCTGCCCAACCTTTGCAGACTTAACTCCTGGGTCATAACTTTGAAACGGTTCAGATCCCCAACCCAAAACTATAAATACAAATACTGGGCAAAAAGAGACGAATGCAGTCATGATATTAGAATTGATCCTGGGCTCTGGCCACAACCCTATGGACCTAGTTTCCGAGTCAAAGCTTGGAAACAGTTGAGATCCCCACCCCATAACCATACATAAAATTGCTGGGCATGAACAATCTAATACAGATATCAACAAGGATGGGCCTTTGGGTCTGGCATATTCTCTTGGATCTCATTTGGAGAATATTTTGCCATGATTGCTTAGATATCCAGGCGAGCGATACAGGCCCTCTGGGCCTCTTGTTTTAATACAGAAATAATTGAATGTTAAACTTTGATAATTTACCTCGTAACTATTTAATTGATGTTAATGCGATATTTCAGCACAAACACGTCTGACAAGGTCATTGTCTGTTTGTGTCGATAGCTGTATACACAAGTACATGTTATATGGACAATACACCATATAGAGAAAGAGAGATAATCCATTTTGTTTCAAGGGTTATCAATTCAAGTCAGACAAAACGCAAGAATATCAACCCAAAAAGAATTATTGTATTGGTATTTTTTGTATTTTGTCAGTTGATAAGCGTCTTTCTGCCATAGTAGATAAATCGTTTTTAAAATCCTATTTCACGCATCTTTGATCCGTCACTATTCTAGCATTGCTGACATGTACAACACTTTTTTGCGCTCATGGCATAATCCTCTTTAGACCACCAGAGTAGCGTCCCTTTACTGCTTGAAAATATAGTATAATTTTGTTCTTTTACTTAGACATTGTCATTAACAATATTTTTCTATTGTATCGTCATTCAAACATATATGGTGCTTAATACATATCTGGTGCTCATTGTATTTTAATTACATTACATTGATTGATTTCCAATGATTCAACTTTATCGATTTGATATTTCTCAAGATGTTAAAAAGACAATGTTAAGTTTTTGTTGACCCATTGAAAGTATATCTATCTTAGATTATAAGGGTAATTACTATGCAATTATTCACTTTTAATGCAAATATTCGCAGGTTTTGATTGTTGATATTAATTAAGTTGACATTTATTCCACAGGCTGCAGCTAGACGCTTTTCATTGGCATGGAATAGTGCGGTACGACAAGCGTCGAACTCACGCAGATTTTCGGACCCGGTGGTATCAATGTCAAACGAACAGCAAGAAAAGAAAAACCCAGTACACTTGTTAGAACAGCTAATGAAAACAGATATTACCGGAAGCACAATTCCGATTCCTGAAGAGGAAGTTGTCTAGAAATTGACGGCAGCGCTTTCTGTCATCTCATAATGAATAAATGAAATATTTGTTTCGACGGTATGTCCCTTTAAAAACTTGTATTTATCATTTGAGGGGAATGGATACAAAACGCATATGGCAGAGAATTAGATAATGCAATGATCGTCGTTAATTGCAAAACATATTTAACTCCCACACAGTAAAGATATTTGTTCGGTTCATAATGCTTGCCAATATCTACAACACACTGTCTACGAAGACCTGAAATCGTTAGCTATAGTTATTGGTCGATATTAAATCAATGTCATGCTATGTTATGTCTAGCATGCATTTCCGTTGGGTTAATTGGCATTGAAATATATTATGATATGTGCGTTTATCATTTCTATGAATATGTATAGTATACCCTATGAAATGCCCTTTGTACAATATTTGCAATGAAAGAACAATGTACCAAGAAAGAACTGATCCCTGTGACCGGTCCAAAGAAAAGCAAATAATTAGCTTTCTCTTTAACTATTCAACGACCTTTTGTCTTTAAATCAAATACCATGAAGTCAGGTAATAAGACAACTGATACTCACATTTGGATGACAGTTTGTTTCAGTTTGATTATTTGATTCTTGAAATGCTATCATCATTATATTAAAAATAATCATCTTGCAAATTTTACGAAGAAAGATAACGGAAAACAATTTGACCTGCAAATCAAACAAAACTCGTGTTTTACTCAACCCAATCAACGAAAGCGCATTATGTAGTTCAACAACACTATTATGCAGATTAAGGTTTCATCGAGTATAGATTTGTTGTCAGGATGTCGTCATTCCCTAGACCAACACATACAGAATAGGTTGTAATACATAGTCACATCATTTAATTAATGTATCTGGCCGTATCATCCTCGTTCATACTCGTTAAGATACGATGTGTTTCACATGTCAAAACCAAACGCCAGGCACCTAAGCCATTACATTTGTTTGGTTGCATAACCAATATAACACTAAACATTACAAATATGCTGACGACATTATCATTGTTAAGTAAGCCATTGCCATTTAACTGTATCATTTAAAACATACTTTTATATGTCATGCCCAGGGGTGTAGGATAGGGAAATTCAACCCTCGGGATTTTCAAATTCAAAAAAAACTTTGCCTAGGATTTTACCAAGTTTGAAAATACCGAGGGTGGAATTTCCCTATCCTACACCCTTAGGCATGAAAGAGTACAGGAATAAGCTCAGAAACCATGAAAATGCGTTTGGATCAGCTACCATTTTTAAAATATCAATTTTTCCCTTTGAGCTGTTTTGACGAAAACGAATGCGTCAACGATATTAACCATATGAAATGGGGTGTAAGATAGAAATCACAGGTGTGTCTCCCGTTTTAGCCGGGAAAGATCACATTGTCACTCCCTAGGGGGAGATAGCCTCCTGCCGATTAGCACGTGTTCAATTGTGACGTCATTAAAATGCGTCACCGGTAATTGTGACGTCATCAAAACCCACATGTGTTTTTGTTTTACACTACTGTCAGTGGAGTTGTGACTGAAATAATAGGATGGGAGAAAACCCATTAGACAACCAAAAAACATCACCTCTCGGGTTGGAGATTTCTCTGTCACACCCTCAGGGTAGGGGAAGATTCTTTCATTCCTACACCCCTTTTTACCCTGGACAGCTCTATCTTACACACTCGGAAATGAGAGAAAACAGTTTACTGATGCGAGTACATGAATATATATGAATATCTAAATCTTGAAAAGAACATATCAATCCTGCATTTGAGAAAATGATGATTAGTGTTACATTGAGATCATGTGTGCTTCATACATTTTATCTATATAAATATTTACTCTTTCTAAAAGAATAAATCCCTAAAAGACATGTAAAACCGGTTTTTAGTATAATTGGACTTCCAACAATAATAGAAATCGATACCTTTCTTGTAATTCATTACATAATGTTGGGAGAAGAAAATGAAGAAAATGAAGGGAGATAACTCAAAGAAATATAAAAGACTACTGATTATTACTTTATTATAACATTTTACGAAATTATTCTTAAATAAGAAATCCAGTTGATTAACTTTAAAAATTAAAAAAAAAAAACGAAAGAGACTTAATAAGGTGCTGATCATGTTACAAATAGGACTGCAAAAATTAAAATACTGAATTAGTGGAACTACGTTTGCCGTTGCCGAAAAATTGCTCAAGTACTATGAACAATGTTTATCATTGCTTAGACAGTATTCAAAAGCAACAACTACTTATGATAGATTATATTTTTTTAATATTCATTGTTTTGTTATGTTATGATAATGTTATTGAATTGTTCATATGAAAAAAGATATAACATATATTGTATTGTAACATGTGTAAGGGAACGAACATTAAAATATCTTAAAATCACAGATTTAATGTTATATTTTATTAACAAAATGTGAAATAGAAACAAATGCAGGGTATCAAAAATCAGACAAGACATGAAACTTTGTGAATGCTGACAGATAACATGCTACTGGAGGACGAAATCCAATACGCAGTCCGACTGATGTACATACAACGCATTGTTTCATAGGTTCGACTGTTCCATTATGATTGCTTGAATCAGTTTCCAGTATTAATGTACGTGGTACTTCATCAAATGTCCAGGTAAAAGACATCAATAGGAATTGGTAATAAAATATCAACAACAGTAATCGGTATTAAAAAACAAAAAAACAGGAATCGGTTTAAACAAAAACAGAACTAAAGGTATGTTATCATACAAAAAACAACAACCGAGCTATATAAATACAAAAAAGCAAAGATAGGAACAGGAGAAATACCACCAAACAAATAACAACAATAGGAACCAGAATTATACCATAAAAATGTAAACTCAAAAGCAACCAGAGGAATATGACACACACAAAAAGGAAAACAAAAAAACCCAATAATCCGCCGAAAATCCACCGGGAACCACAAACTTATCAATAAAAACGAGAATAATATCACACAAAAAAACCCAGCTACCAGAGTACATTTAATATCGCCAATCATAAAACAACAACAACAACAACAACAACAACAACAACAACAGGTACCAGAATTATACATTGTACCACCAACAAATAGGAACCAGAAATAGTCCGCCTAAATATCCAGTAGGAACCAAAGATGTATCAACAAGAACGAGAAATATATCACCAAAACCCAGGAAAAAAGGAAACAAGAGTACATGTAATACCGCAAATAAACAACAACAGGAATAAGAGACATAATGATATAAACAAACAAAACAAGAACAATGAGGAGCTACTAAAATACTCAAGAGCCAAAGCAAGTCAAGAATTGTATAACCCTTTTCTCGCGCTAAATGTTATAAAGTTTGCATTATTTACACAACTAGATCGGTACATCTTTATAAGATTTGAGTGATTGATATCGTTTTTATTAGCAAATGTACAGAATAAACAGTCGTTCTATAAAAATGGATTTTGTACGTGTGAACACGGTTTGTATATGATCCCTGGACACTTCAATCGTTATGTAAATCAATGAATACCAGAGGCTAGCCAGACCAGATGAACTGTTTGATGTTAATGTCCCCGTACTGCGCTATAATTATCCTCAATGCTGACTGGGCTTTCTGTTTTTTCCACCATATACAATAATTCACCCTTGTATAGACATGACTTCCGGCGGTACCCATTAACCCATACAGGCCACCATCGGAGAGTATTTATGAAATCGGATAGGAAATAAGCTGTATCAAAACTGTATGCAACTAACCAAGTCATCGATCTGAGCGACGGGAGGGATTCAGATTTTATCAAACACGCGAAGCGTACTTCCCGTTGGAGCACTATGGTATGATAACTGTATTGTCTGTTGTGGATATGGTTCGACCGGTGCTTTTTATACACTTTCCTGTGAGCGTAGGCAATTGTAAATGTTTTGACATGATATTGAATCGCCGACTATAGTGTAATATGATTTTGTTTGAAGCTTTAATCAGCTTAACATCAATTATTTATTGATACAGACGAGGAGCTATTACTGACAATACATTGTATTCCAAGAAAATAAACACAGTGAGTACATTGTCAAAGTGGTTAGAATAATATAGAGGAAATGTACGAAGTGTTGAAACCTTTTGTCTTTCTTACCTATAACACCAGGCTTTGTTTGGATACTGGTCTTTTTTATTTCTTTTGATATCCCATTTGCGTGCCAGTTTAGATATTAATAAATCGAAATATTTCACAGTTGACATTATTAAATGGAAATATTTCACAGTTGACATTAATAAATCGAAATATTTCACAGTTGACATTATTAAATGGAAATATTTCACAGTTGACATTATTAAATGGAAATATTTCACAGTTGACATTATTAAATGGAAATATTTCACAGTTGACATTATTAAATGGAAATATTTCACAGTTGACATTATTAAATGGAAATATTTCACAGTTGACATTATTAAATGGAAATATTTCACAGTTGACATTATTAAATGGAAATATTTCACAGTTGACATTATTAAATGGAAATATTTCACAGTTGACATTATTAAATGGAAATATTTCACAGTTGACATTATTAAATGGAAATATTTCACAGTTGACATTATTAAATGGAAATATTTCACAGTTGACATTATTAAATGGAAATATTTCACAGTTGACATTATTAAATGGAAATATTTCACAGTTGACATTATTAAATGGAAATATTTCACAGTTGACATTATTAAATGGAAATATTTCACAGTTGACATTATTAAATGGAAATATTTCACAGTTGACATTATCAAATGAAAATATTTCACAGTTGACATTATTAAATGGAAATATTTCACAGTTGACATTATTAAATGGAAATATTTCACAATATTTGTCTGAAGCTAAGCTCTCTTATCAAATCATTGAAACTTTGTAATTATCGGACCATCTGCGTGTCTATAACATAAGTAAAATAGTAAAACAAAACAACCTTTGGTGAAACTGCTTCACGCTAAAGTGCTTTATCAATTACGCTTTGGCAAGAAACATAAAAATACTTACGTTCAGAATGCCAGTATCATTGAAATTAACATTAAAAATTGATACAAAGCGAAAACAAGGTGAACTCGAGACATCGAAAAAAAAAAAACCCCATCATAAACCGAATCAATATCCTGAAAGAGACATGTGAAAAGCACAAAACATTAATGAAGTTTATGTAAGCAATTGAAAAGCCGACTTCACGGCAAGTGTTATTTTTATTACCATGTTACCATCAATGATTACCACAGAATATATATGAATAAATATTTTGCATCCTTGGCGTGCAATAACCTCGGTTTAGTCGTCCGGTTCAATAAAACGCATGGTGTCCTCAGCCCTAGACAACAGACACAAGATGGCAGCTATTCATTTTTTCTGTAAATGCATGCATTAATATAGGGTTAGATATAAGATGAATCATCCCAAACGAGTGAGTAATACCTAAGATATTACGGCTTACCGTTATGTTACAACCTATGTCCTTTTCAACTCAATGTACTTTACATAAACTGGTTCCGTTACATGCTACACTACAAACATGCAGTCACATTGGCTAACATCAGATGTCGTCTGATACAAACTTGTTATTCTACATGCCAGTTTTTGCTGAATGAAATATTTTCGATATTTCTTAAATCCTTCATTTCCTTTAGACTTTGCGTTGATTACCATTTGTAGCACTGTCATTGTTCAAATACGTAGGTCAAGAACATGACCACACAGTCAGCAACACTCCATTGTTTCTTTCCTACATCGTCATTCTCATCCAATGCATTGTTTCTTTTGTGTAATTAATCATCAAAAAAGTTATATGATGATATCATAACAATAAAACCGAACAAGCATGACTGTTGGATTAAATGTGCTCGTCGGATAATTCCAGCATTTCAATTGCCTGCTATCAAATGCCGCATTCCTATGAACTTTAACAGCATAACAGGCAAGTAGAATAACATATGGAAGTGTGTTATGGCTAATTGCCTTCATTTTTGTTATGACAATTGTTATGACAAGACATTCGATCAGTATAAAATGCAGTTTAACGCTTGATTGATAAATTGTTGCTATAATTAAAATTGTATCTGTTTAGATTTGAGGAAGAATTTCAATATTGGTACAACTTACAACCAGCATCGACATGAAATATGTAACATAACAATTATCATGCCCGTAATATATACTAAATATGAACAGGAATTAAATATTCTTTATCTATACAATATGTAACATTTAAATTATGTCATAGCGGTTTGGTTGCTGCCTTGAAAAATTGTTTGACGACAAAATCGAAAAAGATCAATTTTAAATCACCGTCAAAAAGATTCAATTCTGTTGATCAAGTAACTCTATAATTCAGATTGTCCTGCGTTCACATTAAACAACTTAAGCTTATAGAAATTGCTGTACCCTGAATATTATATACATCTTTATGATTCTTCCCCATGGTGTAATTTTCTGGTTTGTCTTCGGCATTTCAAGGTCCTTATAAAACGTTGTTTGGTATCTTCATTGATGCAGTGTCAAATACGCGTGATTACTCCTTGTATAGTGGTCACTCTACGTACGCCGTAACACTTTTGATAGACTTATACTGATACATGACTTAACACACTTTTTTCAATTTTATTTTTTCTATTAAAAGTAATTTACCTACGAAGTGATGGCCTTGATGAGGGTACAGATAAGATCAACAACACACATTAACGTATTTACCCACACATGCCATGCTTGCTGTGTACCACTATTGAACGTCAAATTAAAGAGTACAATCAATAGGCAAAACTGCAGGTCCAGTGTAAATTAAAATTATTTCAATTCAACCTAAAAAAATCTGATAAGCAATTGCAAAAACAACAAAAAACCCGATAGAAAATGGTTGATAGATAAAGTGGTGTTTTCGTTAGAAAATGATTAAATGATAACCATATTTCATTGCTGACTTTGCAAACATTTTTTACGTCCGTGACATTTAGAAATTATGTAAAAATCATTATGATGCAAACAAAGACAAATCCGGTTGTAATGGAATGTATAGATCGCCTGGCCCGTCAGTACCGCGGTATGAACTCATGGTAGGTTCGTCATGAATACAAATTGATTACGTCCACTTGGGAAACTTTTATACTGGTAATAATTACTATGCAGTTTATGTGGACGATGTAAACCCGACGTCGTCAACCTCGCTTCATATTGTACCATCGATTGGCAGGAGACTTCAGAGAGGCTCACTAATGGCTTTACGTATAATGCTAATATTTTATTTACCTTGATCTACCGACAACAACGGTATTATCTACCCTTGTTGATCCGCACCGAGTTTGATTTATACATCACTCCTGTTTCAAGAAGCGGGTACTCTCGGGATAAGTGTTGATCTACAAGTTATAAAGGAAGTGAAGACAGGTTTACCTGCTTAGTGTTGACATATCTACTTACGTCAGTACTAGGAGAGAGGGATCCAGTCAATATTGTCAACTGCCTTTCACCTAGTAGGTATGGCTTATAACACATAGACGGGGTACGCATGAATTTCGAAAACTGAACGAGGTAAGTGCAAGAATTCCATTTGTATTAATACCGCAATTGATTTCACATATTCTTGATGTCATATGCTTTTTGTTAAAATCTCAATTGGATGATATAATATCATTTTAGAAAAGTCGATATTAAAAATCGCTAAGCGTTATTTAATTGTCTTTGCATAGATAGCTTTTTATTGCTATTGTTAATATTAGTGATCAGCTATTAGAAGATTGTTGTCTTCAACTTGTTAAATGTTTACTGTATTGAGGTTACTTTATGAGATTCTTCTAATTTGTAATTAATTTCTGATTATCTTTTCATCAAGGAAGTTATACTTGGTAACACATATATTGCTTTATATAGTTTCATTGGTACTGTAATTCTTACTGTAATTAGTCAAACTTCCTTACTTGGTATGATACCAAACAGATATGCATGCTATGGTACTTGCTGTATTTTAGGTGTGTAAACGGAACGTCCAAAGATGGTGAAAATTGATTTAAATAATTTGATACCGCCGTTGTTATCTTTTTTATTACTTTGTAACACATGAATTTGCCGTTTGACTTTAAAAAAATGTAATCTATACTGATCGTTTGATATGACAAACAATTCATGCCCGATGAATGCGGTTATAATTTACTTTTATATATTTTCCGTCTTCTATCATATATATATACAACTTGTATTGTCTATACTATGCCAATACAGTATAAATTAAAGTTAAAAAATGAATATGAAACTTGAACACTTCAATCACTTTAAAATGGTATATTTATGATAAAATACTGATAATACTACACATTTGTGCTATATGACTCACGGATATCACCTGCTTACTGCTCGTCCACTCCTGCCATTTGTACCCTAAAATAAATACGATTTCGTAGCACCGATCATTTCTTTTTAGAAATACTTTTAGCTAAGATGTTCAAGTTGTTCTTGGTGTAAGTTCTAGGCAAACTTGGTGTGTTGAAAGTATACAACATTTGCGCATGAGGTCATCATTAGTGAAACGACTTTAAACAGCCCATATCTTTTTTATAGCATCTGTGTTAGTATGTTAATCGGACAACCGCTTTGAAATTGAGCAAAATGACCCTCCGTCTCCTAATGGGTGACACTCTTGACTATGATTTATATTTACAGTCCTTGATAATGTCGCCCTTTCCCAAATGTATGTGTACATGTATACATATATAGAAGTACGCTCTCGTAATATAACATTGTAAAATAATTTTACTGTATTTATTATTGATTATCCCCAAATCATATATCATAAACTCCTTGTAAAATTACAACGACTTTCATATTTATACATAGACACCACATAACAAAAGATAAAGTATGTTGAAAAATATATACATGTAGGTATATTATAAAGCGGTATCAAAACTAACAACCTATGACAACAGATATTTTATTTTCATTTAAAATTATTTCGTCACCGAAGATCGACTAGTCTTTTCTTATAAGCAAACACACGTTAATTTGTGATCAAATAATTCAATAATCGTAATGTTGTTCCTTTTAGTTTATAGTAAACACTTACGTAATAATCAAGGCATGTATGTGTGGTCGATATCCCATTGCGTTAAAGACATGCGGTCGATATGGAATATTTAACTTAGCCAGTTTGTACCATAAAAGTGCTTATGTAATAGCCGACTGGTTGAAAGACTTGCAGCGCGGGGAAGGGTGGAGGGTAGAGTTCTTTCGTGTTTTCTGCTTAATGGTAATTGGAAAATAAAAATAAAAATAGGTTTGCCCATTTGAAACACTTGGGGCTTCTGTTTGACATGATCTGTTTGGTAGTGAACCCTCAAACACCTCTGTTAAGCCCGTTGTCGGAATAATACGATCAGGCGGAGTGTCATGTCATCGTGTTAAGGCTATGACGTTTCTGTCATCGTGTTAAGGCTATGACATTTATTTACGATGACACTTTAATGTGGCCCGTTAATAAAACCCAGTAAGTTGTGGAATGACCGCGACTTAGACGTTAACCCAGAACAAAATGCAGATGCTTATTATAGTAAACGTAATATTTTCCAGTATACTAAATGTATGATGTCATCCATCTATACAGGAATCAATATCATAAATATCATTATTATAATATAATCAATTATTTGTTTATCAAATTGAGCTTGACGCACATAGCGTTTTAACATATTTCATTATCTTACCTTCTGAAGTAGACATCTGGTGATTGAATAGCAATTTACATGATGTGCTACCGTTGTATGCTTATCTAATATATGTTAACATATTATAGATGACTTATGATAAAATACCATTATAAATATTTATAAAACTGGTCGTAAATATTTGTTGAAATCTAAAACATCTGAAACTTAATCAATTGGATAGTTAAGTACACATTTAATGCAATGATATATGATTTTAGAATATAAATGTAAAGGATGACTCCACCCTTACCATTTCAAAATCAGATTTAGTTTTTTATAAAAAAAGATATTGAGGGAAATAAATACTAATATATGCCTTCTTCAGCATATCCACATCAGTAATTGATCCCTTTCAGGTACGCCGTATCAACTATTTGCACATTGTTCCATTAATGTTCAAATGAGTAGCATGGATCGGATTGTGAAGAATGAACAGCAATAAGAAAAAGAGTGGAAAGGATTCTAATCTTAGTACTGTTAAGGAGGAAACTGACACTTACTATGGAGGAGGAATTGAGAAGAATACATGGAAACGTGATGATAAATGGAAACCCGCCTTCATCACAGCAGGGGAGAGAAAGTCCACAGTGTTATCAGTCAAAGAGGAAGAAAAGGAAAATAGTATCGAACAGGATATAGAAACAAGTAGTTCGCCTTCTCCGAAACCAACTCCGGAAATAGTTGATGGTATGTGAGAACATGCATCCACATTTCTATCTTCCATTCACCTTAGCATATAGGGTGGTTGGCTGGCGCAGTGAATAGCGCACATGCCTTTCACCAAGGCGGCCGGGGTTTGATTCCCTGATCAGACGTTAAACAGTATGGGGTCACCTGCCCGACCACGTTGGTTTTCTCCGGGTACTCCAATTTCCCCCCACAGAAAGAACCCCCACGCGTTAACATACGGGACATCAAAAGTGATAAGTATAAGTAATAAAAGCTTGTTTAATAATTGATGTAAAATAAAGAAAGTTTATATTTGACATCTAGAACATCTATTGCATATCCTTGAATCTGTTATATATTTTAGCAATGTTATGCCTAATCGTCTTATAGGACTGTACAATATCCTTCATTACAAGAGGTTGATAATGGAAAAAAACATTGTTTTTCTTTACAACAGATTTAGACTCCAGTATCTTTTCCTCCGAGTCCGACATCATTTCCCCTGCTCCGTCCGTAAGTCTTTCACAGACAGTGTATACAAAAGCGTGCATCAAGCTAGGTCTTGTACCGTCAACGTATTTCTTCAAACACCTGACAGAGGTTGCCTTGGTTATGCCTCATCACGGGATAGGACCAAGAGGTGCAAAGGCTGTAGCCATAGCACTTGTAGTAAGTATTGTATGAGATGGATATATTAAAGAGAAATTTGTTTTTCAATATACATTTAATATTGGACGTTTTGAACGACATTATGACGTCATATCTGCACTGTAATGTCATTAATGTAACGTTGACGGTCAAATGCCGGTATTAGTCAAGTCAGTTCTTGAAATAAAATGTGCACTTCTGGTATGGCTATTTTGTTAAAAACATCAGCTAAATGGATGAAAGATAAATCATATTGGCTTTTACAGACATATTTTCAATAAATACAACCTGCTTAAAACGATATGTGTATTTGCCAATGTGCTCCATCTCCATTATATACCAGATTCTCCATTATATTTAGCTTCGTGCCATTTGTTTGAAAATCAGAAAAAAGATAATGTTACATTTCAATTTTCAATAACTAGCTCACATAACTAAAAATATAATTTTCAATGAAACATATATATACATGTACATTATGTAATAATAACATATAACTTACGACAAGATCCAAGTGCTCGAAGCATGGTTTTACTTTAAATCATGATTTTGTTTTAGTTAGTACAGGACTACGTTCATTTAAAGACATCGTAAATAGAGACGGATAGGTAAACACTTTAATTATACACCGGAGCATAATGGTCACATATTTAAATTATTTCAATAGACCTTTTGTTCAGGTAAATATTGTATGAAACAAGTTCGATTATCTACAATTGCCCACAATTATCAGGAACGTCGTTCAAACAAGGCAAATTATGATCCGTAATGTAGGATATATCAATGTGTGTATTTGGAACCCGGTAAATGTACTCCAGGGCGTAATGTTTGGTATTGCTTGGTTGTTGTGTGTTCCGACTTATTACACCTACGCAATAAATGATCGGTTTTGTATTATAGACTCCCAGAAGGGTGATAGCTTCCTCTGCTTGAAATGGCAATAGAGTTGAATCAAATAGTGCCTTTGTAACTGCCAACGTTAAAAATATAGGAAGGAACAACAAAAATATCCGAACTAAGGGTTTTACAAAATTCCACTGAACCACCCAGGACCATTGTTAACAGACGATTTATTGAATTTAGAGACAACGTTAGAATAAAAAGCAGCCACTACAAATAGGAATAATTACAAGTCATTTTTCCTGCTTTGTGGGAATGTCCAGTTAAAATAATCAATAATGACAACAACAAAAATGGTAATAAAAATCATCTAGATATTATAGTCTTAAAAAGACCTCCTTGTTGAATTGAAACACTCATTTTTTTCAAAGAAACCATCAAAATATTCTTGCCCGGTGAAGAAAACCTATAAAAGGTGCACACTTCTTTTCGCACACAATCAATTTGACAGTGATTTAACAACTTAATGTTTTATTTAATTTATAAAACTTAACTTTAAATGTGAGAAAAAAAATCAATTTGAAGTATAACTAAACAGGTTTTATATAAAGACAATTTATTGTGAAGTGATTTACAATAGCTACTCTTTCAATGTGATTTAAATCAATGTAAGTCAAGGCAACAGTGTGTGCCCCATATTGCCGTTGAAATAGGCGCACTGCGGTGCGTTTAATATTTTGCAGGCTGTGTGAGTCGATGAATTAGGGCTTGTCAATCACCTTTTCGTGGGTAGTTATGTTGTGGCGACAGTTCCTAGACACCACACACATGAACATGCACGTGTATTACTTGACCATTATATTAATCATTGGACATACCTCATACACCAATGCACGTGTTTAACACAATCTGTTCTCATTTAAGATGGTTTTCCTCTGTCTCTTGTCTCTGAAAGCTGGTTAGTCTCTTCAATATACATTTTGAAATTTTGCCGATTGATTTCCAAAATTTAGAAATGCATCCAACAATAAGCTGATAAAAATGGTTCCCTTACCAAGGCAATGCATTTTACATTAAACTTCTATTTGGTTAACAGCTTTGTGGTGGCGACTGCAATATTGGAGCATTTGTAAATGTAATCTTCTCCCTCAGAATAAGTCAGTTGTTTTATGTACATTTGATATTTTGTTTCATTTTTTGTTTGTTTTTCAAATCTGTTATTATTATAACCAAATTGTTGTGTGAAGAGAAAGTTGTTTAACGAAATCCTATTTGTCCTGTTCACTAATTCAAGCCAAACCAGACCATTCAGAAGCTGGACCTATCCAGTAATGCTATTGGAAGCGAGGGTCTAGCCCATGTACTCGACATGTTGTCCGGCAACTCTTCGATCAAAGAGCTGGTGAGTATATCCTGATAACAATACATAATAATTTACCTCGTTAATGAGCAATGTAACGGTTTCTCGGCTGACTGTATCCAATCATTTGTACTATTTGGTTATGGCGTTATGTTGACAATATATTAGTTTGAGAAGGGTTTTGGTTGCGGAGATGTACTTTGCGATAGTAGTTGGTACAAATATCGATACATCTCTCACGTATTTGCAAAGATATATATCGAATGTCCATATATAAGTCATTTAATACTGAAAAACTCATGTGAGCAGAAATCGAAATAAGAGTAGATTATGTTTGCTAAAGAAAAGACTCAATGAACAAGATCAAATTGGATACATTCATGCAGTGTATCAGTCTTGACAATCACGGAAATTTATTCATTTCTATAAAACGGATATATTGATAATTGTTCTTATCCTATGAATTATTGGCAGTTAAATAACTAACTATTTACAAAATAATATCAGCACATTTATGTTTTTGTATTAGAATATATCCGGAAATGAATTGCTTTCGGCTGGTGCCAAAATGCTCAAAGAAGACTTGTCTCGTCATCGCTTCCTAACCAGTTTAGATATATCGGGTAACCATCATTATTCAAACATCTTATTATTTGAAATATAATAGTGGTGAGATATTTTTATAATTGGCGGTCTGCAAAGTAATGAAAATCTGTTTGATTTTAAAATATAGGCTATGTTTGCATGATCTTTAAATATGATCGATTCATTTAATTGCATATCATTAAGAACATAAGTCATTTGTTGATTTTGTTGATTTACTGGTGCGACCTGATTGTTAATTAGTTGGACAGGCGGTCTGAATCACAGGAAGCCAGGTACACAATCTCCTCAGGATAAGGAATAATTGAGTTGTTTCCGAGTCTATAAATAAAATCGAGATAAACATTAAACACAGAGAGAGTGTCTTGTACGAGCATTATCATCACTGATAGCTGAAATAATAACCATTTTCTATGACAACTTATCAAGACATTTGGTATTAGGTGTCAAAGTTTCCGATGTTTAATTGATCAAAAACGACATTGCTCTACTCCAAGTGTGACCATGCATTGATCGTCCTATACGTCGCAGAAACGTCGACTTCAGCATTGTAAAGCATTCATATCAAAACAATTGAACGTAACTTCGGCATTTGTTATTATATAATGTTAACAAATACTTTGTAAAAAGGTTTTTTAGACACCTGACCCTAGATAATTGATTTTTATCCGTTGAGGTCATTGACACTTTGAGATGAATTGAGAGTTGTTCTAGTACACTTGTTGGTAATAAAGCAGGCACATTATGTAATCGATTTCAACTCCGAGTTAATAAATCATATTTCTAGACCATATCGGTTCGGTAGGTTCTTTATATCCTCATTCACGTTTCTCCTCACTCATGTGTCTATTCATATCGCTATGGTTTTAAAGTATTAAAGAGTTTTCCGTATCAGTTAATCCCAAATGAAAAAGTATATTTCAGATCGAATGTTAACCAATTACCACCAATGAGAAGTGCTTTGCATTCAATATTATCTTAAACTATTTTTCAGCTAATGGTTTCAATGAAAAGGACGCCGATGAAATAGCTGATTTACTCATAGTAAGGTTCCTAGTATTACGTAGCAAGTGTTCTAGCCTATGTGTTATGTCATAGTACATTAACTCTACACAATAGCTGTTTAGGAAACAGAGTGTGTGGCTAATGTCAATCGATCAACAGAGATGTGAGTGAAATGGAAATAAGAAATCTTCCATATCAAATATATTCATTAACAGGCTTTCATGTAAATTGTAATGCATATAAACATGTTATATATTTTATTGATTTCACATATGCATCATTTGTCTGTTTCATTGAATTAGCAGACATATTCTGTGGGCTTGGTAACATTCTTCATAATGTGAAATAACAGTGTTTATTGAATACTCAAGAAATCGATATATTGCAATTTTCTTAAATATAAATGTGAACACTGCTCTTCTACTTGTATACCTAGTATACTTTTAAGTACTGTTAGTACTAAGGAAATTATCATTTGTTTGTAATAATTTAATAACAAATGCTTTGATACATGTATATGTGCATACACGTTTAAATTGACAGGACAATTCTAACCTGAGACACCTATCTGTAGGGCACAACTCCTTTTCGGAGGGTGGAGGTGTAGCTATTGGCAAAGCCTTGGGTAATTATCTGCTAATATATTGTTTCATGGTATCTTGGCTGATACTAATGTGTGTGAGGTTCAATACTTCTTTCTATAAGTTTGAATTTCAACATGGTTTTGCTGTCTCCTATTCGTATTGTTTATTATTCAAAATATGATTTTGTGGACGCATTTGTTTCAATTACATTGACTTATGGTAAAACTTACAAATAAGAAATATGCATAGGTCATTGACAACTCTACAGATTCATGAGATACTGTACATGACATCTAGTGTTTTTTATTTTTTTATTTTAATCAATTTTAAGTAAAATGAATCTACAATTATAAATGTGTGTTCTCTTTAATATTATGTTCCAGAGGAAAATTCAAGTCTTCAGTCATTAGATTTGCGATGGAATCACCTCCGACAAACCGGTGCAGTTTCTATATGCTGGGGTCTATACGTACGTAATTAACCTGTGTTTAACTTATCTAATATATGCAATATATGAAAAACAAACAAGCTGCTGAATTACCCAATGGGGATATTCTATGCAAAACAGGAAGCAGTCTGTCTATAACTCAATTAAGTTATCAGTATTTTCTTTGTTTAGAAAGCTTGTTTGCCTCATATACAGTGCAGATGCATACCTTCTATTTTAATATGGATACTTTATTAACGATTGGTTGTTGTTTTAGAGTAACAATACGCTGAAATCCCTTAATCTGTCCTGGAATGGTTTTGGAATGGAAGGTTGCCATGAGATGGGGAAGGTACTCATGCGGAACCGTGGTTTGACAGAGCTCGACTTGTCTGCTAATCGAATCGGACTTGATGCATTCCGTCAACTTCTAAGGGGAATCGTCAAGAACCGAAAACTCCGAACAATTCGGGTAAGTCAAGGAGGATATGTGAATTTAAGAATTGTCACGGTATTAATATATACCTTTCGAAGGAAAATAGTAATCTTAGAGGTGTCAACGCATAAAACCGAAATTGTAACTCGACGACGGTAAGAAAAGACAACATCAGCAAATGAGGGGATCACAATACAATTCTTATATTATATTATTGAATATTAAACAGATAATATTTCTAATAACAAAAGTAAGGAGAAATGAACGCTTCTGAAGACGAAAATTTATTTTTATTTTTCAATAGAGGAAAGTAAGCTTGGTTGAATGAACTCGCTTTTCATTTATTGTCGTTACAGTAGAGATTTTGTTTGAATAAGATAAAATATTTTGTTGGTTTCATTTATAAATTTTAATACAGAATATTTTCGTTACTGCGTCATTTCGAAGTTATCCTAGAAATACAGAAATGTGTGTGTTATAGCTAGCCACTTTTTATTAATAAACAAACTTCGTCATTGAGACATGAGTTAAGTGTTTCTACCCAAGTCATCTGCACTCACTGGAAAGTATGTAGACATAACCTCCTGAAACACAAACAACAAGAAACAACTACCATAAGTGCCAGAGCACCTCGGTTGGTTTTAAACATTGTATAACAATGAATGGCTTAATCCCTCTAATGTTGTTTGCGGGTTTGTCCATGCGCTCTATATAGATAATCAATATCTGAATCCCGTGAACGAGTAAATAATGAAGCGTGGTCTTTGTAGAAATAGTAAGTGTACGGAATATTTTATGCAGTACACAATTCTACAGAATATAGATTCTTTAAAATCTTTCTCTTCTTTTGTACAACAATTCAACTGAGTTTACCTCATTGAACAAATGATCGAATATGTAAAAGAAGCAGGTAATATTTACCTACAGTATGATACAGTGTTCTGTTGTCCATTGACAACTACAGGATACTGTAGCAAGACATGTCACCAGGTTACTGATACGCGCTACCCTATTTAATAACAGTTGTTTGTGGTTCATACAGGCAATATTGAAAATACATATTTCATGCCATTGCGTCTATTACTTATTTTGTTTTTGTTTCACAATAAGTATAACCAATTCTATTATCCGTATGTTATAAAGCGCTTTAGAGTAATTTTACAATTATATAGGGCGCTATATAAATGTGTATATTATTTATATTTTTTCTTATGATTTCTTGTTTTCTACTTATAACATAATTTTTAGGTTTTTGAGTTAATATGGTTTTATTCATTCATCTATTAGTTTTGATAATATATCTATATATATGTTTAGGTGTTTGTTTTTTAATCATTTTTTCCTATCAATATTATGAATCATTATCGATAACTATCAACAAGATGAAATTCATTTTCGTGATAAATAAAAATTATTTCATTTTAGTTATTCTCATTTAATAAATTGAAGATTCTTGTTTAACTCTTGTATACTAGTGTTTGTTCTGTAAATTTCTTGGTTACAAAATAGCATTACTACCAGATAAATTTGAATTCAAACTCAAACTTATAAATGTATCTTGAATAGCGAACTTGATGACAAATGATGGTCTTTGTGTTAACAATACATGGATATTGCAAACATTTCACAATTTATTTATTTTTAAGGACAACGTTTGTTTGGTTGAAACGTAAGAGGCCATAAATCATTATAACTGATTTATCAAAATCGTATGGTTACAGAAGATATGTACATGTATAACATTCTAATAAACGGCAAATAGCACATATTAGATCTCTTTTAAAATGGTGTCCTTTATATAGACACCTGACCTTATGTAGATGTTTACATGCAAAATAAATAAAAAGTTATACCATTGCCAAATCTATAAAATCATCACAAAATATTTCTTTAATTACTACACTGATTTCCCATAGAAAATGTTTATAAAATCATAATATAAAATATTCACATATTCTTTTAAATAAACGAGAGGTTATATATGCCTTACTTCAATAACAAACCAAACTGTTTACCAAGAATTGAATCTGTCAATAACTTTCCAGTGCAATTTTTTCACAACATACACTAACTATAGGTATGCATCGATTAGTTCATACGTGAATTGGACCAAGGGATAGCGCATATAATCAATCAACTTTTATCGTTCGTTGTTCAATTTCGATTGCTGAGCAAACTTAACGAAATGCTGTTGTTTTAAGGATCGTCGATTGCGCTGCATGATAACATATGTCATGCTTGACAATTCTGTAATACATGTATAATTTTAGCTAATATGGCTGGTTTGTCAGATCCTGTTATTGCTGTGATTGTTTGTATTATTCTTTTAAAGATTGGTATAAATCCTATCACGACAGACGGTGCGACAGCAATACTGCGAGCTGTCTGTGCGTCCGATTCAAACCTCACAGAGATCGACATGACAGTAAGTGATCACGAAAGCTATATTAATTCATTCATATCCAAAATGAGGCAGTTCATTTATTCTGTCCATGAGTTGGTCAGATTTTCAAAAAACAAATTTCAACAAGCAAACTATTTTTCCTTGCGTATATCTAGAGAATTATTGACCAAGGACTATTGGCAAGAGAAGCTAGAATTGTATTGTGACCTTTCACAATACACTATACCAACAAACTATTCTCTATATAATAATATATGTCCTTTTCGAGTAAATATATCTATCTGTTAATAGTTATTACAACCGTAATTACAAATAAATCAAAGGCCAATTTTTACTAATTTCGGTATGATCTCGTCACGTTTGTGCCACCATGTTAGGACAGTTGTTTTCAATTACACGTTCCCTTGCCCGAAGTCAGTTGCTAACTTTTATGGGTAAGAAGCATTGTTCTAGTTGCCAGCTAATCTGTTTTTAAACAGAAAAGAAAAGTAGCGCCTCCATTTAGGATTGTATGCGTGTTTTCTTAATTTATGATCAAATGAGATTCGAACGGCGTAACAGATCAGATTAATACATGCTGTTTCCTTTTAGCAATGCAGTACTTCTCTTTCCACTATCATCTTTTAAGCTAACACGGTTTGTCGTACAAATGAACACGGAATCATTCAATTTAATACTACTCATAACTGAAGCTGAACTGGTTAGTACCGATCATCGGAGACATGATAGCTCAATTCAGTAGAGCGTCCTTCTAGAGTTCGGAGGGTTCCGGGTTCGAGTCCCAGTCTGACCGTCCATTTTTCCTCTCCTATTACAGTGTTGCTTGTGACCAACCCTGGTCTGGCCGTGCATTTTCCGTCTCATTTTACATAACATTAGGCGTAATCGCATTACTGTCACTTAGATAAAGGAGAAAATTTCATTTATAAATAATGTCTGATGACATTTACTTAAGACTTTTATCTTTGAACTTACACAGGATGTTTCGGTCGACAATGACTTTGTCTCGCTCCTACATGAAGTTCAGAAACAACGACAAATGAAAGTGACGTATGGTAATCTGTTACGTCACGACGAGATACGTCGTGGAAACTCGAGCTGGGTGCTGGATAGTGACGATCCAGTGGCCATCTTGTTTGAGTACATGAAGCAGAAGAACTTACGTCTGATCGACCTCCTCCACAATCTGGACAAGGACAACAGCGAGACTTTGTCCAGGGACGAGCTCCAGTTAGGACTTTCTGTGAGTACATGCAGGCGTCCAAATGTATTGTAGGACACCATTACTAATCCGATAGTTTTATATTGGCACATCAAGGTCATTCTCGTGAATACCGATGATGACCAGAATTGAATAAGTCGCGTGATCAACAAAATTCAGAACAAAACACACAAGCAAGCGAAATGTTTTATCCATTGTCAAATCTATTTCATGTTCTTGGAGCTTACGGTATTTGTGGAGATATATTGTGCCTTGTTTGGCTTCCTTCATTATTGCGTAAAATCAAATGCATTCCATCAACGTCACTCTTCAGAGAAGTTCTCAAGTCGTTCAAATTGGCATTTAAATCTTGTTCGGAATCATTCAAACTAAATATTAAACATTGAAAGAATGTTTTCAAACCCTGAATAAAATACAGATATCGAAGTATATTTAAAAACGTTCTGCTTGTTTCGTAGTGATAACTTTACCAAAAAAGCACATTACGCGCTTCGAATTTTAAGTACGCGATGAGGATTTTTAAACCATTTCGATTGTGATTGAAAAATTCACTCATGTTAAAATATCAACCAAACCTGATGAAATGCAGCATGTAATCATCAATAAATATCCTTTATGTTAATATAGTGAATTCTGTTTTTACAGATATCCATTTATTCTACTATATATTTTAACATTTACAATGAAATGAGTTGTGGCTAATTGCAAGCTTGACATAAATATTCTGAAAAAATGTTCCGATTTTAATAATTTCAGAATAACGACATTCCATTGAGCAGTCGATCCTTGGACATTTTGATGAAACGTCTGGACGCCAACAATGATGGACACATCACATTTGAGTAAGCACGACGTCCAATAGTTCCTCAAAAAGAGATACTAAACGATGTCATATACATGTATCTCCAATCTTTCGTTATCGGCAAAAAAAAAAGTTATGTAAATGAACATATCAAAACCTAGCTCCTTTATATTCTGAGTAAAGTAACACATAGTATCAAGAACAACAATTAAAACACCACGAACACTAAGGAAACTCATTAAAACAGAAACGGTAAGCGTTTCGTGTACTTCAGTATTACATTATCATACGCAGAACTCTTACTAATGTCTCACAAATTAAGAGAAGACTGTCATTTACCAAAGATCAAAGTCACGAGGAAAAATATTTGTGAATGGTACATATTGAAGTAGCGTTTATGTAGTAGATATTTCAAAGAATTCAACCTGTATTTACTTAGGTATATCATCATTTCATAACTTTGATCATTTTCCCTGACAGAGAACTTGCTGTAAAACATAAGGAGTATGTTCGGAGGGCGATGAGATTACGTGTGCAGGCAGATGAAAGTCTCAGTCACTACAAGAATTTTGACAAACTAGAGCAGATCAGGGAGGCGGTCAAACTCAAGATAGCTCTCAGTGTCACTACGAGGCCAAACGCTTTCAACAAGTGATAGAAAGGGGTGTCGTGGTCCTAGATGACGTAATTTACCACGGCTAATATTACATCAACGTTATTTGACACTTGTTGAAGACGCTGGTTACCCAGCATCAGGCATGAGGTAATGGTAATGTGTAATGCTAATTAATTGCAATTAATTACATTTCGTTAAGTAATTGGATGTAATGTGTAATTAAGGATTTTTTTAATTACATGCAATAGTAATTTAATTAATTACATTGAAAAATGCATGTAATGCCCAATTACTTCTAATTACTTTTCATTACTTTAATGGCCGGCATACGACAGCTGATATCATTTTTATTCATTAAGTGTGCATGGGTTCATGTATTGATTTTGAAGAGAAATCGGGAAGAGCATCAAGGGAACAGGCATGACTTCATTTCCTTCAAAATAACGTTAGCGAAGAGTGTCCAGATACAATAATAGATTTAGTGTTGACTCGATAGCAAGATTCGGACACTGACACAAACAACTTTGCAATTTAGACACTCCTTAGTTTCAATATAATGTTATATCTTGTGTGCTATGTGGTTTATAGAATGTGCTGTATTACTCATAATTGATAATCACATCTACCTACTAGCATAATAATAGAATAATTGCATAAATGACAATTACCATTTCACATTGTTAATAGAAGCAATAGCTGGCATGACAGGTAACGTTTTATTTTAATGTCAAGGACGGTTTAATTGTAATGTCAAGGACGGTTTGATTGCATGCTAGAACACGTAGGAGTTAAAAACACACTCTTAGGGTCAAATGCAATTCCTGATCGAACAGTATTGTATTATGGAATCCAACTTCGTCATTTCAATTTAATAATCAAGACGACTGTACCAGGTACCCAACCGTTACTCCGACATAGGAAAGAGTTGGATAGAAAAGGCGAGGGTGGATGGTTTAAAGGGAACTCAACTGTCAACATTAAATTGTCATATTTTTGCAAAGGAACCGCACGGGATATATAATTTTTGTGTGATAATTCAGAAAGTGTACACTATAAGGCGTTACTGGTGTGTTTGCATGCTATGTGTGTGGTGTTTGATCACTTCTATATACAGTTCATTGTTATAATCATCGCAGTTCATCTAACACAAATTGTTAAGATCGTTATGTTTCAATGTCTTCGTCAAGTCGACCCTGTACGTCAGGCGACCAGGCAAGCATAATTCTGTGTGATAACGTTTCATTGTATGCTTATTGTTTTCAAATAAATTATTCTTACGAGTGATTGATGTTTTAAATAATTGTGCTTGTACTTGAACACGTGCATCTTCTAATCGGTAGAATTTACTTATTAATACACCTGTGTTATACGAAATGCGTCTAAAACTTTCAAAACATCATTATTGACTGTCGCGTTGGTGTAACAATCAGATTTGTTAACCAATTGCCTCCGTGAAGATGCTTTCAAGTTAAAAATCCAATTTTGAGTAAACTTTGTAAAGTTATTTTATGTCATTTCATTTTTAAATATCCTAAAATATTGACAATCAGTGCTTTAATTGGTTTTAGTGAGTGAATCGATGACTCACGTCTTCCTTTCAATAAGTAAATTGTTAAAGCACACGTGTCAGCCACAGAATAACTGTTAACGTGATGTGTCATCTTTGAAGACAAGTATAGAAACAGTTCAACGGATAATAACATCAGAATCCATTACAGGTTTACAATGGAAAATAATGATAAATACACAATAGGGGTATATTGGTATAGCTCATTATTAATATCGCATTGTTGAGCAATATCGAGCAATACTTACCTCTCTAGCGAGTACTAAAGTTGAGGTATCTCATTGAGTATAGATCTTTAGAATAATAGTAAACTTCAGAATAAATGGTGGCAATATACCACAACGTTAAAGCATGTCACCAAAAATAACGCCGAAAACTGAGGAGATACCATCATATAAGGAAACAAGCAAATACGTAGAATTTATATCCCCCGCTTGCAGAAGATATTGTAGGTAAACGTTATTGAGGTTAGGTTTAAACATGTAAGTATCGTGCTGTTGAGACACAATTTATAGTTTGAAACTCGAAGAAAAAAAGCCTTATACAGAAGTTTGACTTTTTATTGAACATGTAGGTATTACGGTGTAAATTAATCGTTTAACCCATCAGAATTTACTAACCTCATTAATTATCCGTAAATATGCACAAATCACATCGGTTGGCAAACTTAGCAGGAGTCGGATGTGCATACGGAATTTGATTGAAATATCTGTACAATATCTACAGCAATTATCACACGAAAACCAAAGAGTGCCCGAGATTTGAAAGAAGGTTGAAAGACAGAGGAACCCAAACCTTGTTATCAAGTTTGAAGGAATTTGGCTTAACTGCAGATAATGACGTTTTTCGATTAAAGTGGTTGTCAAACTTAGCAGAGCCCTTATTGCGTTGAACCCTGTTACTAAATTTGAAGACAATGGGATAATATTTGCGAGAGTTAAAGAACAGAAACGGCAGATAGTGACGTTTTTCGTAAATCAAGGGGCCATGACTCCGCCAAATAGAGTCCGATAAAAGTGGTTGTCAAACTTGGCCGAGCCCTTATATATAGTGCGTTGAACCATGTTACAAAGTTAAAAGACAATCGGATAATATTTGAGAGAGTTAATGAACAGAAACGGCAGAAAATGACGTTTTTCGATATTTAAGGGGCCAAAACTCCGCCAAGTAAAGTCCGCTGAAAGTGGTCATCGACCTTGGCCGAGCCCTTCAGGCAGTTAACCCCGGAACCAAGTTTAAAGAAAATCGGTTAACATTTGTTGCAGTTATTGCACGGAATCGGCAGATAATGACGTTTTTCTTAATTCAAGGGGCCATAACTCCGCAAAATAAAATCCGCTGAAATGGTCATCGAACTTGAACGACTCTGTTACAAAGTTTTAAGAAAATCGGTTAACATTTGTTGCAACTATTGCACGGAATGGCAGATAATGACGTTTTTCGTTATTCAAAGGGCCATAACTCCGCCAAAGAAAATCCGCTGAAAATGTTCATCGAACTTGAACGAGCATTTAAGGCATTTAACCATGTTACCAAGTTTAAAGAAAATCGGTTAACATTTGTTGCAGTTATTGCACGGAAACGAAGCGTGACAGACAGACTGACAGACTACCATAAAACATATTCAAAATCAAAATAACACAACTATATAGATATGGATCATGTCTACCTTGTATAAATCTAGGTCAAGGTAAGTACAAATGTAGCTGCACTTTAGGAGAAAATTATTGAGATTGATAAAAAAAAAAAAAAAAATCTTCAACATAGACCGACTTCATAAACAAGAGGCCCAGGGGGCCTGTATCGCTCACCTGTTTATTTTGTTACATGCAATTGACATATAGGTAACTTAAGACCAAATTTGGTAACTAGAACACAAGACATTTTAAAATCTCTTAAATGGTTCTGAAGATATTGTTGTTTGAAACTTGAAATTTTAATTTTAAAGCTTTTAACCCATATTGACCTTTGACTCCCGACTTGCACTTAAAGTTGACCTTTGACCTCATTACTGTAATAAAGAAAACAATTCACACAGCTGGTCTACATAACATACCCAAGTATCATGGCTCTAGTCCAAATGGTTCTTAGGATATTGTTGTTTGAAGTTTTTAACATATTTGACCCCTGTGACCTTGAAAGAAGGTCAAGGTAATTTTAATTAGGAAATTTTATAACACATCATCCCAGGTACCTACTGACCAAATATCAAGACCCTGAGCCTTATGGAATATGAGAAGATTGTTAAAGCCTTTGACCCCGACTTGCACTTTAAGTGGACCTTTGACCTCATTACTGTAATTGAGAAAAGTATTTGCACTGCTAGTCTTCATAACATACCCAAGTATTATGACTCTAGTCCAAACGTTTCGTAGAATATTTTTGTTTGAAGTTTTTAACATATTTGACCCCAGTGACCTTGAAAGTAGGTCAAGGTCATTTTAATGAGGAAACTTTATAGCACTCCATCACAGGTACATTGTACCTACTGGCCAAATATCATGACCCTGGGCCTAATGGAACTTGAGAAGAAGATTGTTAAAGCTTTTAACCAAAGTTGACATTTGACCCCCGACTAGCATTTAAAGTTGACCTTTGAACTCATAACTGTAATTGAAAAAAATATTCGCACTGCTGGTCTACATAACATGCCCAAGTATCATGACTCTAGTTCAAAAGGTTCTTAGAATATTGTTGTTTATTTTAGTTTTACATATTTGACCCCTGTGACCTTGAAAGTAGGTCAAGGTCATTTTAATGAGGAAACTTTATAGCACCCCATCCCAGGTACCTACTGGCCAAATATCATGACCCTAGGTCCTACAGTTCTTCAGAAGAAGTCGTCCAAAAGAAAAAGTTGACGGACGGACGACGGACTACGAACGACGGACTTCAGCATAAGCTCACCTGGCCCGAAGGCTTAGTTTAACTATTTCTGAATCCTCTACTGAAGTTTTGTGGATAGAAGTTTCTGTTAATTGTTAACAGACAACTTCTATCCACAAAACTTCAGTAGAGGATTAAAATTAATCACTTGCAAACGCCATATACAAGGGATTACATTACTGTTGAGAAAAGGAAAAGCAAATCCAAGCAATCGTTTTAGGCAAAATAATACGTACGGAAAGGTATGCATCATTAAAATATAGCCTCTTAATTAAATTCTATTTGGTATACTACTGCATGGCAGTGATGTATTGTTCATTTATTAAAAAAGAAAGAGAACAATTGGATAGAAATTATAACATTTATTCTCACACTTACTATAGCAATGATTCATTCTCACTTCAATGCACCAAAACGTGATAAATTTTAAACATTTTTTATATTTTTCCACATCCCACATAGATATTCCCATTATCATTAAAACAAGGCAAAGTTTAGAGGAACAAAACCATGCTATCATCAAAAAAAAAAACAATAATAAAGACATATATTTTTGTAGGTTCAAAATTAAAATCCTACCTTGAATTATGATATTTTGGTGTCAAAACGAAATTGTAATATACATTTATTCTTGACTGCTTAAAATTGGAAATGACAAAACATTGTATTTTGGTAATAGTTTATCAAAATATCACATATGACAGCATGATTTTTACTTTACTTTAACTGAACAGAAATATCAGCAGTAATTCCAAACCTGCACCATCATTATGTTATAGAGATCAACATATTCACTACATACAAACTTATTTGAAGGAAAAACTTTGAACATATATGTAAAATTGAAATAACATTTCACTCAATTAACATATAGACAGAGAAAGTTGCCTTGAATTATAGCAATTATATGCTTGCATTAGAAAATTATGGACTTATGTAATAGAACTAAACTTATAGTTTCATTCAGGGTGAATTAATTTCTAAGCCCCTAAAATCAGAGAGTAATAACTACAGTGACAACATTATTGTCTGTGACAATTCTTTCAACAAAACACAGGACATCTACCACACCGAAGCTTGTATACCCCTACCAGACAGATACCACCAACATTTAATCACTCTCACACACTGGTCCATTCCCAACACATACAAAACAAATGTACCATTACCAACAACCACATTGTTTATGAAAAGGTTATATAAAATTTACAAGTCATTGCCATAATGATAGTTCATCAATCATCTGTGCTCTTTCCTACAAACAAGCATACAGTTATATGTAACTCAAATACATTTACAATTTTACATTAAAGATTTTTTTTATTTGTCTCCAGTGAGAAAAACATTCTGCATAAGAATGAAGAGCGTACCGTCCCAAAATTTCAACTACAGCACTATATATCATAAATGAAGTCCAAGTAAGCAATGACAATTATTTCATTAAATGAACGATATAATTTTATGAAATGAAAAATGTTCATGAAATTTTAACTTGTGAACATTTGAATGTAAAAAAATCATTTCAAATTTTAATTCTAACCAGGTTTTGGGGTGTAAATGACATTTAAACAGAAGCATTACTGTAAGTATCCTAAAGCTACTTCATCTTATGTTTTCCTAAACGAGTCTTGGATATCAAAATAAAAGAATTAAGCACTGTTAGGTGGAATCATGTTTAGATTTACGTCTAAACCAGAGAAGTCTACAATACACACTAAACAGGTTGTTCTGCAAGTTAACAGAAGAAAATACAAAATAGTTTTGTAGAGAAATGAATTACAACATACCACAAGAATTAAATATAAATTAAATCAGTCATGTGATTTACTCCATGTGTAGTTTTTATGTTATAATTTAGTTTAAAATGGCAATGATGCTGAATGTCAAATTTATAAGATATTTTACAAAAGTTCATGATTTAATGTATCATGTAATCACTTTCCTCAAGTTAGATATCGTGATCACTAAATTTAAACATGATTGCATTTTAAAGAAAGTATTCTTGGATGTCAAAAGATAAGTCTTAAAAATATAATGAGCATTCAGATCTGTGAAAGATGATACAATTTACATAATTGAATAATGTAATGTAACAAAATTGTAAGCAAAAAATTGTNTCCTACAAACAAGCATACAGTTATATGTAACTCAAATACATTTACAATTTTACATTAAAGATTTTTTTTATTTGTCTCCAGTGAGAAAAACATTCTGCATAAGAATGAAGAGCGTACCGTCCCAAAATTTCAACTACAGCACTATATATCATAAATGAAGTCCAAGTAAGCAATGACAATTATTTCATTAAATGAACGATATAATTTTATGAAATGAAAAATGTTCATGAAATTTTAACTTGTGAACATTTGAATGTAAAAAAATCATTTCAAATTTTAATTCTAACCAGGTTTTGGGGTGTAAATGACATTTAAACAGAAGCATTACTGTAAGTATCCTAAAGCTACTTCATCTTATGTTTTCCTAAACGAGTCTTGGATATCAAAATAAAAGAATTAAGCACTGTTAGGTGGAATCATGTTTAGATTTACGTCTAAACCAGAGAAGTCTACAATACACACTAAACAGGTTGTTCTGCAAGTTAACAGAAGAAAATACAAAATAGTTTTGTAGAGAAATGAATTACAACATACCACAAGAATTAAATATAAATTAAATCAGTCATGTGATTTACTCCATGTGTAGTTTTTATGTTATAATTTAGTTTAAAATGGCAATGATGCTGAATGTCAAATTTATAAGATATTTTACAAAAGTTCATGATTTAATGTATCATGTAATCACTTTCCTCAAGTTAGATATCGTGATCACTAAATTTAAACATGATTGCATTTTAAAGAAAGTATTCTTGGATGTCAAAAGATAAGTCTTAAAAATATAATGAGCATTCAGATCTGTGAAAGATGATACAATTTACATAATTGAATAATGTAATGTAACAAAATTGTAAGCAAAAAATTGTCAAACAAAGGACTATGTATGGTTTGGGCCTTTTTTGGCCCCCAAATCCATCAAAATTAAAAAATCTGCAACAGAACTTTCAAACGACTGTTTCTTGAATTTTGAATACTTCCCCAGTACTATTATGTAACCATTTATTTGTGTTTTCAATTTTGGCTGCCATGGTAACCAGGTCATATTTGCATAAATTATTGAAATTTGATTATTCAGTCAATTTTGACAGGTTTTCACTTAGTTTTTCTCTTAGTTACCATAGAGTGCACTCTTGAACAAACTTTATATTTCTCCTAAAGATGTATTATAGGTGCCTACACATTATCCTTTGATATTAAGTTTGTTCAAGCATGCGCTCTTTAGTTTCTAGGAGAAAAACTATGCAAAATATAACAATATTCATTGATTATTAGAAACAGTCATTTCAAAGTTCATTTAAAGATTTTGAATTTTAATGCACTTGGGGGCCAAAACAGGCCCAAACGATACATAGTCCTTTATTCATGAACCATATCCTCACTCACATACATTCCTCATTCACATCGAGTCATTAGAATGGAAAAAAACATTTCTTCTTTACAATAGTTTATGCATGGCAACTTTTTGATATATTTATACAATCATTGATGACTGCACACAAAAATACCACCAACACATTTTCCTGCTCCTTTAACTCATAAAGCCCTTCAAGGCCCATCTTTTGTACGTCAGTTTTGAAAATCTTGCATACACAAGTAACTGATCATGATGTGTCACTGTAAAATTTCTTAATCCGGCACAATCTTAGTTTATAGCACTGTACTATGTTAGACAAAAAATTATTGTGGGAAACGTTCAGGTGGTAAATTACCTTCTTATGCTGAACAAAACTTAATGTGCAAATGTAACAAATGTTTATGAGCAAAAATAGATTTGCATTGAAGTATTTCCTCAAAATACCATTTTCACACAAAGTATGTATATTCACCATATTAAAGTACCAAGTAAATTCTGTGATAGCGACTTTTTAATCCAATAATTTCTTTTTTTCTTTTTCTCTAACCATTTAGGCTTTAATGTTTAGGGAGAAAAGACTTTTCATCAAATTCCTAGCCGGTAGCTGCAGGATCCAGCACTTCGGTCATTAGGATGTTTGTATTAGCAGCTATTAGATATGAACTAATTAATCAGCATCAACAGGCTTATACCTTCTTCTCAATTTAGATGAATATTTGTATATTTGTTATCAGAATGATGGTCTTCAAAGCCATAAACTTCAGCTTCAATACATAATTCCCTATTGGATGTCACTAAACAAGTTAATGAAGCATGTTATAGCATGCCCAAGTTAAGATTTTACAAACTCTGCAAGAGTGATTCCCATTCAACAGTCACCTTAGTCTTTTTGTCACCTGATGAAACATGTTTTTTTAATTAGTGAATAGATTTTAATATAACTGTCAAGTATGATACAGCTAAATCTCATACTAAACTTCTTGAAAAACAATTCAGTGATCAAAAAGAGACAATTTCAATAAGGTAAGGAACTTCATCACTTTTCTATCATATACATTGATCTTGAAAATGATAGAGATTTTCCTGAAGAAAACATATCATGTCCTCTTTTCATACAAACATATTTATACATTGCTGACTTTATTAAAGAGTTGAAAACTTCTGAATTATTTCAACTTATTCCATAGTATTGCTAAAACTTATTGTCATAACAAATATCATGACAAATAGATCAGTGGATAAGCTCCCTGCCTAATAATCAAAAGGACATGGGATTAAATCTGTGTGCAGAGATGCTTCTTCTATAAAAAAAGGAAAGTTTTAATTCCTAAATGTTTTGTTTTGTATATAAGTCTTTGCTGTAGTAAATGGGCAGGCAACTCTTTAAGTCTGAATATGTGGAATAAATAGGAACTCTTCAATCATTGGAGATGCTGGAATCTCTACCTTACACTATGTGTAATTTTCATATTTCATCATTTGGAAAATTATTGAATTTCCAATTAAAGTACATTTTAGGCCGATTTTCAAGGAATAAAGGATACTATCAACCGATATGTTGGAGCCTTTTGCTTTGCAATCCATATAAAATAATCACAGATTAATCTCAAAAAGAGAAAAAAAATATGATAAGTTACAAGGAATGTGTATTTACTTATTTCTTTATAAATTGTAGATGTTGATAATTGTAATTTCTTTATGCCCTGGCTCAAGCAAAGTAAAAAGAAATTGATGTTTTAATGTTTTATTTTTTTTGGTTTCAAAAATCCCCAAATCATACACAGTTTTTGTACTGTCTGTCATGATTGTCCTTTGCACTAAAGCCTGTTCGTGCTGTATTCATTTGGAAACTTGAACTTGTGAGATCCTTCTCCTCTGATTTTTGGTAATGTCCCAGCATTGGGTATGACATTCCATGACAAGGTCAGAGTCACATTGTTGTTTCCCCTACAATGAAATTGAAAATTATGTCAAGAACAGAAATAACAGAAAATATAACCTGCCAACTCTTCATGGTTTACACACAGTACCAGTTTAGGAAACTCTATTACTGTGAGAGTCTTACAAATATCAATCTCATGATTGTGGTAATAATACAGAATAATGCAAATGAAATATTTCATCATCACATGGAAACATATATACTGGAAGGAATGGAAGACAGCAAAGAAGTTATCCGGTTTTTTCAGAAAGATATAACATTGAAACAACATTCATTTGTACAGAGATAGGTGATTCTCTTACCCTGGACAGATTTATCGTTACTTTTACCGGTGTGAGATTTCCTTGTCTCACCCTAGGGTTGAGACAAGCTACACATGCTCTTTGCACGTTCTCCACAATAAACCCGACGTCACTGATGTGACCTGAAGAAGAGCTACTTTTATGTGGTCACACACATACACAAGTTTGTCTGCTAATCTTGTCGTGTTTACATTTGACATCAAAGAAGATTGGATTGATTTTAAAATGTTTAAAATATGACGCGTGAACCGTCTGACGCATACATATAATATTAATATGCTATCCACATGTTCCTGTTTACAAACAATATGCTTCGTCTTACACTTGGACAGGAACAACAGGGTAAGAGAAAAATAATCATTCACCCCTCGGGGATGAGATAGGGGGATCTCAACCCTCGGGGGGAAGACTCAACCCTCAGGGGGAAGATTCTTAAGTTGCCAAACACTCAGCAAAGCCTCGTGTTTCGCAAATTAAGAATCTTTCCCCTCGGGTTGAGATTCCCCTATCTCACCCCCAAGGGGATGAAAGATTTTATTATTCTTTCACCAGGGCCTACAAAATTACGTCAATTCTCCACAGTGCCACATATTTCAATTCATTCCTCAACATCCTCAGATGGAATTTTTTATATTATTCCCGTTACAACAAAGAAAGACTGAAATACTAAGATTATGAATTGCATCACATTTATTTATTGCACTCAATATACTGGAGTCAGTTAAAATTTGGTAATACATATCACCTATACAAGCTTTCAGGCAGGGGTGGTCAGTCGAGCCATTTCAGTAACTTGATTACAGCTAGGAAAAGAGAATTATAACAAACTATTTTCAATCTCACTACAGTGATACTGAACTGATTATTAGATACTTACTTGAGGCCATTGCCATAGTCCCAGAAATAATATTTGGTATTACTGCTGCGGTAATCCAGTACAGAGTTTTCTCCCCTCTTAATGATTTTGTCCCAGATCACTACCTGGTTTAAAACCTGTAAAAAAGACAAAAGACAATTACAAACATGTACCTGGTAATAAAATGCCTAAAACTTTAATTGCTTTTATAGATCAATGACAACCTCCCAAACATATCTCTACTACATGTATACAGCAATTCAACATAGACAATTGATATCTTTTTGCAAGGGATGTCCCACAACGAATTATGTTTATATCATTTTAAGACCCTGTTTCAAAGTCTGAAAAGAGTTGCATCTGATGCCATGAGCTGGATTAGTGCATACCAGCAATGTTGTGAAATGCTAATCTAAATCTCAGTCAACCATGACTGCATCCTCGAGGATGCCATGAATGGTACCTTGAAAGTGAATTGACATCTAACTTACAAAGTATATGGTTCAGCAGCATACCAGTACATTTTTGAGTCAAATTTTCAGGAGATTATTTTTTATCTTTTTTTTTGCAATATAATGTTTGTTGAAAACCAGTTAATAGAGAAACAAATGTCTATCAAACTATATAAAACTAGGCTGAACTGCATCATCATCATTAGCTTCCATATATGGGGGATAACCTAAGGAAGAAACTCCAAGTAACTTTACTTACGTGATCTTTTGTTTCATATTCGGCTGTCAGATACAAGAATAACTGCTTCACATTCCAGTTAAATATCCTAGATAAATGTTTGTTTGTTAAAGAAAACTCTTAAATTAATCACATCATTATAATATATACAATTACAAATATCCCTAGTAAAATCAGTTTATGCAAATCAAAATTGTATACATTGTACATGCATCTAATTACTGTATCATAATTTTATGAATTCATCAATACAAATTAACTGTATAAAGGATATCAGCTTGCATATCAAACACAACAAATCCTAGGTCGTTTTTTTCTCTTGTAGCACTGTAATCAGGAACATTTTTTCTGCAAAAGACAAAATATGAATATGGAAACTTCAATGTATACAAACATGCATATAAAACATTTTTCATGGTGATTGCATTGAATTTTGAATCTATAATCAAACAACACACACGCAGTATTAAGAGAGCATGAAATGCAAAATCAGAGCGTATGTTAAGTGTCCCTGCAGTCTATTGGTCAATGGTAACTAATTCTGTAAAAGTAAAATGCAGAATATATTTTGCTATCAACAACGTCTTTGCCAAAGTGCCAACTACAACTGTAGGTCCTATATTGCTACTTCCAAGGAAAATCTGAATTTTAAAACAGTGGGCCATTTTCAGTCAATATCAAAATTCCATGTAAAATTAAAAGAAAATTGGAACATGGAGGGGTCAATTTCAGCATTGAGGGGGTAATGGCCCCCTCCAGGATTATCCTTGACTTCAGACTGACAACAATATATATGTATACAGTCACCATGAAAACTCTGTTTGAATTAGTTCTTAAGCAAACCTGGTGTGAATCACAACGGGGCAATTTTCTCATTATTTGCCAGTACACGAGTCTGCATCCATATTACACGTTTGTAATATAAACTATTTCTATCTCAACCTAAAATTTAGTTAAATTATCAAGTTCACGAAGCGAGAAGCAGTTTCTTCCCACACATGAAAAACATGTGGACATGCAGATGAGTCAGTGAAAGGAAAGATTATTATCTTATAATTCGATTTCCAGTGATTTTTTTTATTTACATCGATGCAAATTTGGTATGCCTTTATAACCTGTATCTGATGGTAAGACTTGAATAATAACTATTTCTGTACCAAAACACCAAATAGTTCACCCCCTCTCAGCACATTTGTGTTGTCTTCGTGATGCTTATTTTCAGGAACACATTGAATAGACACACACTATAGATTTATATTAAAATGCAATGATAGATTTTCATCAAATCAATGAAATTGTGTTTTTATACTGTACATTAATGTTTAATTTCACCGACTGAACTGTTTGGTCTGGTCAACAATTTTATCAATGGACATAAGATAAAAATCCCGGGGGGGGGGGGACTGGCCAATCAATTGTTGAAGATATTACTCATTTAGGTAAATGACTATGAATGTCTCAGAATTCAAGTGCATGGACATTTAACCAATTGACGAAACAGGCACTATTAGCCATCATGTCGCATCAAAAAGAACTGAATTCAATGCCGTGTAAAAGACCCCCAGATGGCAGGCGTCCAATATCATGATATTAATGCTCAAGCCGGTTTGTACAAAAATGTCTTACACGATCGCTTTTCCTGTTCCAATATATACTGGTGCTTTATGTTCGTTGAATGCTGTCGTCAGGAAACAACAGAACGTCAATCCCGCCATCACACTAAGTGTGAAGGCGAAAATTGTGTTCAATCTGGACAGAAATGTGTTCATCTTTCCTTGTGGCTTGTTGGCCGGAAGTGCTCGTCAGCTATTGGGGCGTTAAACAACAAACGGACTTGGAAGTAATTCCGTAAAAAAATAATTGTTTGTTCTGCCGATTCGAAACGTTTGTGCATGGATAGCATATTTCTTTATGTAGTTTTATAATAGTTATTCACGTGTGTATATATGTTAATTTAGTTCGATTACAATATAAAGCATTTCAGGTTTATTATAATCCGGAATTATTGTTCTAATTTTGGACAGTCACATGACAAAATCATGGCGGCTCAGTTAAAAAAGCAATACCAGTGTTTAGTTTTGTTTTGCCTATATTTTTGTTTATGTGTCGAATCGTTACGCCCAGGTTTCCCATACCGTAAACATCATCATGCAAGAGAGGCTGACAACACTGGTTACAATTACAAGACAGCATACTTCGAACAGAAGGTTAGTAAAACTGACTTTTCAGTTTTATCACGGATTTAGATAATAGCATATTCCGTGATTTTATCATCGAGCACCGACTTCTATAATTATCTCAGACGACTATGACACGTATGTAATGGAATACGTTGTGTTAATGATATTCACTCATACAAACTGATTTTAGCGGAAGCAATAACAATAAATGCTAAAGCAGGGACCGGTTATGGGTGTTGTTTTCATTGAGTCATCTCCCTTTGACCATGTCATGGGTTGCCATTCGTGGTCATGAGTCAGTCACTGTTCATGTATATTTTAACTAGTAGATCTCTCTGTTTTTATTTTTTATCTCTTATTAATTAATATATTTTCTTTTTGTAAAAAGTAAAGAATTTTGACTTACTTAAACTGTACTGTAATATTGGGTCTTAACGGTTAAGAAGGATTGTTAGATGTTTTTGATTTATATGTTTTCAATTAAAATACTTGCTCTGTTGATAATAAATCAAAATGTTACTTAAACATATAGTCGCATTGCAGTAATTTGTTTTTGTTTCAAGATTGACCATTTTGGATTTGCCAATGACGACACCTATAAGCAGAGATATCTAGTCGCGGACCAATATTGGGACAAAAATGGTGGACCCATATTTTTTTACACCGGCAATGAAGGCGACATTGCCTGGTTCTGTAACAACACCGTAAGTGGTTTGACCGGCATGAGTTAACAATCCCAAGTGAAAATTGATTGAACTCCCTTTTTATATAGAAGCCTATAGACTTATGATGGAGGTCTTCAGATTTTCCTATTGCGATTCCAATAAAACGGGAACAAGTGGGACAAAAATCGAAAAGTTTTTCTGCTCTAACAATCTGATTACAATCATCTGTTACCTGGCTTTGTTAACTACGTACTATATGCCTGTTCAGGCATAGTACAAAGTTATTGAAGCCATGTCAAAGATGATTTTAATCAGATTGCTGCTATATGCATTCATATATATATTGCTATATGTTGGGTATTACCTTGTACATACATAGTTGAAATTGTATCGCAATACACTGGATATTGCAATACAGAGCACAATATAGTGATCTATATATTTATACACTAATCCAGGCACTGACTATGTGGAAAATTACAATTCAAGTACTCATTCTTTTAAACAGATATTGTCACACATTTAAAAGCAAAAATGTTGATTCAATCCAAAATTCACGAATGGTCTTGAACTGGAAGAATCTTAATATAACCAGAATGCATGGATGATTACATTCCACATAAAAAAATAACTCCATTTCGGAATTTTTTACTTGGTTACAAGTGCCTCTTTTATGAAAACGTTTATATTAAGTTAAGGTCATATGATCACAGACTTGACTCAATGGTCACAACTGGTCACATACAATGTACAAGTGTAATGTATACATATGACTCCATTAGTATAGTGACCAGACACTAAATCCTTTAATTACAGAACTTTTCCATAAGGTCTATTTACAAAATATATGTATTTTAGGTCTTTTATTTATTTGTAAACAATGTTATAAGTACTGTAATATTGATTCAAAAAACTATCAGAAGTATATATCAATTTAAAAGTAAATGTCAATTTATTTTTAGGTTTTAATTACTGTAATCTGAATATGTATAATTATAATAAATTTATAGATTTGGTTTGGGTTTTTTCTATCCAGGGATTTATGTGGGAACTGGCCCCTAAGCTGAATGCCCTGCTGGTGTTTGCTGAGCACAGATACTACGGCACCTCCCTACCTTATGGTCCTGATGCTGTCAAGGTAATGGTCAACTATGCCAGTGACAGTACATGTACTGTAGAGCATCAATGGATAAAATGATATGTTCTGTTGGGGAAAAAAATACTTAGAAAATACGTGTTTTAAATGAAAAGTGTGGATTATGATGGAGGGGTCAGAGACTTAGATGGTGGATCTTTCATTGAATACCATACTTCTTAAATATCATTCACAAACACATTGACATACTTATATGTGACTGATACATGTATATGAAATGTCCATGGACCAAGGGGAGTCAATTATATAAAGAGAAAGATTTGACGAGTCAGCTCAGAAATGTGAGGTGTGAAATTACAGTAATAAGACACATATTAACTGTACAATAGTGTTCCAGAACCATTTAATCTCTGATGACCAGGAAGTATAATGCTGATTTTGTTCAGTTTATAAAATATTTAAAGAGGAACGTATTCACTATTTTACAGGATCCTAAGAAGTTGCAGTACCTAACATCTGAGCAGGCATTGGCCGACTTTGCAGTATTGATCCAGGAGTTAAAGGCCAATGTACCAGGGGCTCAGACCAGTAAAGTGATTGCCTTTGGGGGATCATACGGGGGAATGTTGGCTGCCTGGCTCAGGATCAAATACCCCAATGTTGTTTACGGGTAGGACACATGTCAGAGACATAAGATATATAGTTCTTATTTTTGTATCAACTGTCTGATAATATAATACTATAATACAAAACTCACCAGTTTATAAATACACATGTGATCACCAAGTACATTTTGGTAGGTGTAATTTGGTTTTCACTTTTGGTGTCATCAGTGTCAAGTGATACATCCCTACACAGTGTATTATTACATGCAAAATGTATTTATATTTTTGAAATTATCACTTTTTTCTTCGACTAATTTTTTGCTTACAGAAAAAGTGTGAATATTTAGATAAAAATTAAGAGTCTGTAAACTGTGGCCTTTGACCTAAAACTGGATATGAAATGTGTGAATTTTTGTAAATATTTTCATCTGCTGATACTTGATTTTTTATACCCATAATCATTTATTACTGGAAAGTGAATGACATCAGAAAAGATGTATGCATGATGATAATTTTCAAGTTATCAAAGAATTTTTTATTTTGTATTATGTACTATTTGGTTGGATAGAGAGATTTATTGAGTGAATGTCTGCAGGTCCTTAGCTGCCTCGGCCCCTATCTGGAGCTTCATTGGCCAGATCCCTTGTGACGCACAGCTACAAGTTGTCACCAACTCTTTTAAAAGGGAGTCTCTCACATGTGTTAAAAACATCAGGAAGTCCTGGGGCATCATCAACACAATGGGAGCTACAGGTACAGTGTCTATCACATTGCTGTATTGATGCTAGCTTATAGATTTCTATAATGTGTTATTGATCCCAAGCTTTAGTGGTAAAATAAGGTTTAACTTAACTATTAAACAGTCCTGATACGTCTAAGCATATGCATCTTTATATTTGAAATGGATGAGCCTTTTTCCGAGGTTTTGGTGAAATCTAGGTAAAATTAAAACCTTTGGTCTAGTTTTAATGCTGTAAATCTAAAATAAAATGAACCTGTCCCTCACATGTTGTGTATAGTTATTCATATTCCTCCCATAGTTCACCAGCCATCAAAAATATTCAGACTCAGGGAGGGCACGCCTCTCCACCACATTTGATTTGTGTGTGTTGTTGAATGTTTCAGACTCAGGGAGGGCACGCCTCTCAACAACATTTGATTTGTGTGTGTTGTTGAATGTTTCAGACGCGGGGAGGCCACGCCTCTCCACCACATTTTATTTGTGTGCGTTGTTGAATGTTTCAGACTCGGGGAGGGGACGCCTCTCCACCACATTTGATTTGTGTGCATTGTTGAATGTTTCAGACTCAGGGAGGGCACGCCGCTCCACCACATTTGATTTGTGTGTGGTGTTGAATGTTTCAGACTCGGGGGGGGCACGCCTCTCCACCACATTTGATTTGGGTTCATTGTTGAATGTTTCAGACTCGGGGAGGGCACGCCTCTCCACCACATTTGATTTGTGTTCATTGTTGAATGTTTCAGACTCAGGGAGGGCACGCCTCTCAACCACATTTGATTTGTGTGCGTTGTTGAACTCGACAGCGGATACAGAGGCCTTGAAGTCGTGGCTGGTAGAAATCATGTTTAACCTAGCTATGGTGGATTACCCCTACCCGGCCTCCTTCCTGGAGCCTTTGCCTGGCTGGCCTATCAAGGTGTGATCTCTGTCTTCATAAAAGCTGTTTAACAGTTTATTGATATTCAATATACAGCCAAATGCTGTTAATTTACTGACCCAAGTGGCTGGGAAATGAATCTGCTTATTTTTGGAAATGCTTTTAAATATAACGTTTACAAAGTACAATGTATGTATATATAGGGTTTCCTACAGTCAAACTTTATTATGTTCTTGTATTCCTCACCTATCTCAGTTTTTTATTTGAAGACAGTTCATTGCTTGATTGTCTATTCCAGGCTGTGTGTGCACCTCTGTCCACTGAAGTTGTGGATGAAGTGGCTTTGATAGAAGCTCTGTCTAAAGCGGTCAAAGTGTACTACAACTACACCGGTCAGGCCAAGTGTCTGAATGTCAATGAGAATGCTGTGGGTAGCCTGGGTGATGAACTCTGGGGTTACCAGGTAAGCAGGCTGATACAGTGACACCTTTCATTTAGAATATTATTAGTGATTTATATCTGAAAATTAAATCTAAATTACCAGTAGTACTTACAGAACATTTAATGTTGAGGCTTTAATACTGTGAAAATCATTCAGAGGTTTGTGGCAGTCAGACCATATAAAACAGAATTGTATTTTAATGTCTTTAATAAGATTCATCAGTTTGGAAATATTTAATGTCAGAGTTTTACTTTATACACAAGCAATGTACGTATGTAACGTGTTGCAATGATTCAAGACCGACTGGTCCCTATGATCGAGTGAGTATTAAGACCTTTTCCATACAGTGTATACGCTCTCTATGGAAAGGCGAAATGTCCCGGGTCGAATGATATGAGAAAATACAAGTATATGCTCAGTTAATTTTTATACGCTCGCCAAATTGGTATACATTATAATCATGATATGAAGTTGTGATGCCGTGAAAAGAATTTTGATTCAACAAATTTTGCAAAAGTTATTCCCCTTTGTTTATTTCAGTATTTGTTTTTTTTGTCCGGAGATCTCCTCCTACATTTTTCGAACGACTTTTTTGAAACTTGGTAGACTTTATAATCATGATATGTTGTTGTGTTCCCTTAAAAGAATTTTTTATTCAACAATTTTTGCAAAAGTTATTGCCCTTGTTTATTTCAGTATTTGATTTTTGTCCGGCAATCTCCTCCTTTTTTTTTCGACGGATCTATTTGAAACTTGAAATACATATAATGATGATATGACGTTGTGTTTCCCATAAAAGAATTATGATTCAACTATTTTTGCAAAAGTTGTTGCCCTTTGTTTATTTCAGTATTTGATTTTTTGTCCGGATTTCTCCTACATTTTTCAACCGATTTCTTCGAAAGTTGTTATACATTATAATCATGATATGAAGTTGTGTTCCCCTGAAAAGAATTTTTATTCGATTATTTTTGCAAAAGTTATTGCCCTTTGTTTATTTCAGTATTTGCTTTTTGTCCAGAGATTTCCTCCTACTTTTTTCGACCGATTTCTTCGGAACTTGGAAATTGTAAAAGTCATGATATATAGTTGTTTCTACGGAATTATTTTTTTGACTATTTTTGCAGAAGTTATAGCCCTTTGTTTATTTCTAGTACTTGAATCTTGTCTGGAGATCTCCTACAGTTTTCTATCAATTTCTTTGAAACTTAAAATTGGTAGGCTTTATGATCATGATATCAAGTTGTGTTTAATGAGTTGGAGACTAATCTTTTGATTACTTGTTTTCCTCAAACTGTTCGAAAATTAAAGAAAATTGAACATTGACTTTTAGTGAAAGGTGAGATTTATAGCATGTTAGCTAGCCACTCTTAAGGTGATGCAAATCTTATTTTAATGCAAGATAGTATAAAACAATATATGGCATTCAACGGATGTATATTGTTCTGCCCTGTGGTACTCTTGTTTACTTGTGTGCCAAGGTAAAAAAGCACCATTCTACAGATGTATTCCATGTACCTTGGTAGATCATACAATGCATTTTACTGAACTACAGTTGCTCATAATTTCAACATTTGGCGTAAAAAAATGAGCCAAAAAACATAAATTTTAGAGATTGAGATAAATTATGTCTCCCCTTCGAATAAAGGGAGACATATTGTATTAGTACTGGTTCTTCTTCTGGTTCTTCTAATCACAACTTGTCCGGGCCATAACTTTTAAACCGTCAAAGATATCTTGATGAAACTTTAGGTATATATGTATCACCCACAGAAGGTGTGCATTGCACTAGAATTAGGTCACTGTGACCTTCACCTCAAGGTCAAAGGTCAAATAAGTGCAACATTTTCAGTAAATTCTTGTCCGGCCCATAAATTTTAAACCGTTTAAGATATCTTAATCAAATTTGAAGTATACCTACATCCCCCACAGAAAGTGTGCAGTGCACTGAAATTAGGTCCTGTGCTTCACTATATACAGAGTTATGGCCCTTTGTTTAATTTTAATACCGAAGTTTGTTCGGAGCATTAGTTCCATGTTATTTCACCTACATTGACCAAACTTGCTATAGTTTTAATGTATCTTTGGAAGTAGAGTGTCACAGTCTAAATTCGGGTCTGGTGCCCCATTATATAAAGAGATATGTCCCGTTGTTAATTTTTTATACCAAAGTTTGTCTATTGGCTAATAAGGGGAGACATATATGTTTTTGTTCACAAAAACAAAATTCTAGGTAATAACTTTTTTCTCATCCCTTCCTGCCAAATAGACTGGACTATGTTGCTTTATCTTGCATATTAAAGGCAGAAAGAACCCCAAAACTCATAAAAATCAAAAGTTGAACTTTTCATGGAAATTATAAGTGTACCCCTATGTGTTAAAATGTAGAGATTCTAGATTCTTTTAGATGTCAACTAAATTCCCTATATAACACTTTTCTCACAGATACTCTAACTAACTTTGCATTTGCATATAAAATGACTAAAAATTTGTGTTGCTATGAATTTAAGAAATGAGCATTTACTGTAATGTTGCATGGTGTAATATTTGTAAGATTTTAGACTTTGTATAATTGTTACAAGAATTTGAACGTATCTTTACAGTTTTATCTCCTTATATTTGTATTCAGATGGTGTATGTTCTTCTTCATTATCCCCTTGAAATAAGATGTGTAGCAGCTTAATGACCATATTAGGATACCTAAATGAACACTTTTATATCGTACTCAACGTTTACTTGCCCTGTAGGCCTGTACCGAGATGGTGATGCCGTCCTGTTCTAACGGTGTGACCGATATGTTTGAGCCTGCACCATACAACTTCAGCCAGATCTCTGACCAGTGCTACAAACAGTTCAAAGTGCGGCCAAGAAAGTCCTGGGTTATAACACAGTATCTGGGGAAAAGTCTCTCAGCTGCCAGCAATATAATATTCAGGTGAACAGCTCTTGAACACCTTTTGCCAAAAGTTGCATATCTTGGGAATTTTGCAGGCCCATTTTTAGTATGAAAGATAAATGACACTCTCATTTCCGTCCTTGTTTTAAACCAAATTTTTCAATTTCTATTCATTACAATTGAAGATGTATCCGTCAAAAAAATTAATAAAATAGATTATGTAATTATTATTTTTCAACACATATATGTAAATATATATACTTATTACTAGAGTATTAAGATGATGTTCTCAATTCAAGAAATGCTTTAAAACATACTAATTGGATTTCATAATTTAGAGTATGACATAATGTGTATAACAAAAATGTGCTTTCAAATGTCATTAAAAATATATATTTCATACAAATATTCTATCCTCTTTTTTGTCACAACATTGTATATTTCTATATGGCTTCAAACACCATATTTATTTATAAAAAATAAATAGTAAGAAAACGTGATGCATCAAACCTTGTTCATCCTTAAATCAAGATCTTTAGCATATAAACTCATGAGAGGACGACAATTTTAAATATTTGATGAAAAAAAATTATACCAATTATTTGTACTTTTGTTATTTGTGCTCCTTTTGCAGGTAAAATTATTATGTGTGATGTTTTGAATATTTATGCAATCTTTTGTCAGTAAAAGACTGATTTTAATACTTGTTTACAGTAATGGTCTTCTTGACCCCTGGTCATCTGGTGGCGTGCTGAAGTCTATCTCACCAAGCCTGACAGCATTTGTCATCCCCAATGGAGCCCACCATGTAGACCTGCGCAGCTCTAACCCTGGCGATACTCCAGACATCACCAAGACAAGGCTGGCAGAGGAGTACATCATTCATAAAAAGTGGATCGAGGGAGACAACCTGTGATCTCTAATGGAAAATGATGTGGTGCAGTTGTGATTCCTGTACAGAAAGGCTGCTGGTGAACATCTTGAATATAATTCCACTCCGCTCAATTATTTAACCCTTTCACCCCTATGCAACTTTAGTAGACTCTTCTATGCATTGATCTGGATGAGTCCATTATGGTCTACAGTGGTGAAAGGGTTAATAGTGTTAAAATGTGAACTGATTAATACTTCATACTCGATCAGTATTCAAATTTGGTATTGTTTGGAATTTGTGAATTTGAATCATAGTGCAAGTGCTGCAAAACAAAATAATTATCTCTAACAAAAAGATCTGATGGGAACATATTGAGTATTGCACATTCAATATAGATAAACTGTATGTGACTAGTACATAGTTAACCTAGAGATCTGAACAATCCATTAACATCCCCAAACCACCCATCTTCCACCATGTTACCTTGGGCCGACTTCCCGTTATGTAATTGCCTCCTTGTATCTTTGTCCCCCAACCCCCACTACACTCACACTTATTTACAATTGTAAAGAAGTACTCTGTTTTGATTTGTGCTTGGCGTTATTTGTTTTAAATCTCTCATTGTCATTGATGGCCAGCTTTGGCCTTTGTCCTTAAATTAGCCTAGTCGTGTCTATGAAACTGTTTATACACATTCTTCTGTTTGGTAGCACCCTATCACTTGTGGAACATGAATGGTCTAAACAGTTTCAATAATTTTTATTGTAGATGTACAGTCCTTGACCACTAAATAACAGAAGGCAGTAAAACTGGCAATCAAACTGTGATACATAGAGTGCAATTAATCTGTTGTAAATAACATGCCTGTAATTCCTGGATTTTTTGTATGTCTTGTGTAACTTTTGATGTTGATCTGTGTGAATGAGGATGTTTAGATTCTGATCTGAAGTATTTTACATAAATGCTATTAAACAATAACCATACATTATTTTCAATAAGATCTTATTTTAGATATCGAAATAGATACATGTATGTTAAATCATATCAGAAAGATCAGCCCCGTCTCTTATACTGAAGTATTTTGAGAGTATGATCTTGTGATACAAAATGTACATGAAGTGTTTACCTTTGACATGTGTATCTCCATAATCATATACATATATATTATACTGTATCACATTGAAATATGTGTATCACTTCAAAATATACAAGTAAAACTATATTGATTCTGAAATGTGTCACTACCACAAAACACACATTATACTGTATTACATTGTAATGTGTGTCACTGTACAATTACACATATTAAATATTTCAAGGGTCTTATATACCGCTTTATCACAATCTAGTTCGCAGATCGTCTCAAAGCGGTTCACAAATTATTATACGTGGTTATAGGGCCTTTGCAACCAGCCAATACCTTTCTTAACTCCCTGGGGAGCATACAACAGGAGCTGCCATTTTGGCGCTAACAGCTAGCATTCAACAATTCTAGCACTGCCCAACCACGTACTCATTTACAGCTGAGTAGACTGGAACAAGCGAAGTAAAGTATCTTACTCAAAGATACAACACAGTACCGTGCCGTGCCGTGCCGTGCCCGTGCCGTGCCGTGCCGTGCCTTGACTCGAACCCGCAACCCTTCGGTCATGAGCCCCGCGTCCTACCACTAGACTACTGTACCGCCTATTATACTGTATCAAATTTTTTAAAAGTTTGTTTCTCTAATTAACATACATTATATGCTGTATTAAATTGTAGTATGTGTATCGCCATACACATATACTTATAATATCACATGTATTATACAACTAATGTAAATGCAATGATTGGTGATATTTTTTTATCAGTGCTTTGTCTCAGAAAAGGTAATGCCATAATATCAAGAAAACTAAATATACTCATAAATGTAGAGCAATGTGTTGGATAGACTCAAAATGCTCTTAATGTATGATTACATCTCATAAGGATGTTCCCTGCCCACCCTATCCCACCCTACCCAAAACACACACAATGCATTCCTTAGTGGTTACATCTAATTACAATAAATGTAGGTTTACATAAGTATGTCCACACTGTCATGATAGATATTGCAAGTGACATGTTAAAAAATGCAGGAATAATCTCATCTTTGTTACAATTATAAAAATACATGTACTTTTTTTGTGTAAAATGTTTTAAGATAAGATAATAATATCACCAGATCTTAAGATAAGGTAGTTATATCACCAAATCTTAAGATAAGATAGTAATATCACCAGATCTTCAGATAAGATAGTAATATCACCAGATCTTAAGATAAGATAGTTATATCTTAAGATAAGGTAGTTATATCACCAAATCTTAAGATAAGATAATAATATCACCAGAACTTAAGATAAGATAGTAATATCACCAGATCTTAAGATAAGATAGTAATATCACCAAATCTTCAGATAAGATAGTAATATCACCAGATCTTAAGATAGGATAGGAACATCACTAGATCTTGAGATAAGATAGTCATATCGCCAGATCTTAAGATAAGATAGTAATATCACCAGATCTTCAGATAAGATAGTAATATCACCAGATCTTAAGATAAGATAGTAATATCACCAGATCTTAAGATAGGATAGTAACATCACTAGATCTTAAGATAAGATAGTAATATCGCCAGATCTTAAGATAAGATAGTAATATCACCAGATCTTAAGATAAGATAGTAATATCACCAGATCTTAAGATAGGATAGAAACATCACTAGATCTTAAGATAAGATAGTAACATCACTAGATCTTAGATAAGATAGTAATATCGCCAGATATTAAGATAAGATAGTAATATTACCAGATCTTGGGGGAAACATAACACATACCAATATGCTTGTTAGTCCCAACCTTAATCCTCTATATTGAAAAAAGTACATGTGATATTGCAGTCTTTCCGTCATAGGTAGTACCATGAATCTTCATAGTCCGAATTTTTCTGACGTTTTATCGACTTTTTTCATATCTGTCTGTCGTCGATTAACGTCAGAACTCCGGCCCTCTATAATATGCGGGAAATATTCGACCCGCGCCCGGAGCGCACTTCCAACTGATATTTAAGAAACAAATTGTCACTTTCACACACATGTCGCACATGTGAGCATAACTATTGGAGACGTTCCTTTTATTTTGTCACTTGTTGTACATGATCACCTTGTAACTTTAATGATGATATGTATTTTATGTAATCCAACTGATGTTGAATAAAATATGTTAAGAAGTATTCTTAACATAAACAAAATAGATGTTAAATGCATTTTGTAATATGTGTATATATGTATGCAGAAGATGTTATAGGTTGTAAGTTGTTGTTTCGGATCCATTTGTTCGGCATAATGAAAATAGGTTTAAATCGAGAAATATATTCAAACTTTGATAATTAAGCAATATGATTTACCAAGCGTGCATGTATGAAGTAAGTGACAGTCATTTCTTTCTAAGCTTAACAGCTGAATACAGAATTCATTCACTTGCATAAAAAGTGCTGTATTTCATCCAAAATAACGAAAAATGAGGAAGATATTTTCAATCTAAAGTAAAAAATGTTTTATTTTCCCGGATTCATCTTTGAACAGGCTGTTGTAGAGTTTAAGTAGAGAAAAATCCACAAAGTGCTGCATCAAAAATACTGAGTACAGTGTATATTACGACTTCATGTAACACGAATATGTCTAACAATTTATATTATATTACTGTATGTGGAAAATGTATTTGTGACATTGGCTCAAGTATGTGAACTGGAAAGACGTCAAGGTGACTGGTCATGTCTCCACATCAGAAACTGTTGTTGAGGTTATTGTCATACACTGGAAAGACGTCAAGGTGACTGGTCCTGTCTCCACATCAGAAACTGTTGTTAAGGTTATTGTCATACACTGGAAAGACGTCAAGGTGACTGGTTATGTCTCCACATCAGAAACTGTTGTTGAGGTTATTGTCATACACTGGAAAGACGTCACGGTGACTGGTCCTGTCTCCACATAAGAAACTGTTGTTAAGTTTATTGTCATATACTGGAAAGATGTCAAGGTGACGGTCATGTCTCCACATCAGAAACTGTTGTTAAGGTTATTTCATATACTGGAAAGACGTCAAGGTGACTGCTCATGTCTCCACATCAGAAACTGTTGTTAAGGTTATTGTTATATACTGGAAAGACGCCAAGGTGACTGGTCATGTCTCCACATCAGATACTGTTGTTAAGGTTATTGTCATATAATGGAAAGATGTCAAGGTGACGGTCATGTCTCCACATCAGAAACTGTTGTCAAGGTTATTTCATATACTGGAAAGACGTCAAGGGGACTGGTCATGTCTCCACATCAGAAACTGTTGTTAAGGTTATTTCATATACTGGCAAGACGTCAAGGTGACTGCTCATGTCTCCACATCAGAAACTGTTGTTAAGGTTATTGTCATATACTGGAAAGATGTCAAAGTGACTGGTCATGTCGCCACATCAGAAACTGTTGTTAAGGTTATTGTCATACACTGGAAAGACGTCACGGTGACTGGTCCTGTCTCCACATCAGAAACTGTTGTTAAGGTTATTTCATATACTGGAAAGACGTCAAGGTGACTGGTCATGTCTCCACATCAGAACCTGTTGTTAAGGTTATTGTCATACACTGGAAAGATGTCAAGGTGACTGGTCATGTCTCCACATCATATACTGTTGTTATGGTTATTGTCATATACTGGAAAGATGTCAAGGTGACGGTCATGTCTCCACATCAGATACTGTTGTTAAGGTTATTGTCATATAATGGAAAGATGTCAAGGTGACGGTCATGTCTCCACATCAGATACTGTTGTTAAGGTTATTGTCATATAATGGAAAGATGTCAAGGTGACGGTCATGTCTCCACATCAGATACTGTTGTTAAGGTTATTGTCATATAATGGAAAGATGTCAAGGTGACGGTCATGTCTCCACATCAGATACTGTTGTTAAGGTTATTGTCACATACTGGAAAGATGTCAAGGTGACGGTCATGTCTCCACATCAGATACTGTTGTTAAGGTTATTGTCATATAATGGAAAGATGTCAAGGTGACGGTCATGTCTCCACATCAGATACTGTTGTTAAGGTTATTGTCACATACTGGAAAGATGTCAAGGTGACGGTCATGTCTCCACATCAGAAACTGTTGTCAAGGTTATTTCATATACTGGAAAGACGTCAAGGTGACTGCTCATGTCTCCACATCAGAAACTGTTGTTAAGGGTATTGTCATATACTGGAAAGATGTCAAGGTGACGGTCATGTCTCCACATCAGATACTGTTGTTAAGGTTATTGTTATATACTGGAAAGATGTCAAGGAGACTGGTCATGTCTCCACATCAGATACTGTTGTTAAGGTTATTGTCATATAATGGAAAGATGTCAAGGTGACGGTCATGTCTCCACATCAGAAACTGTTGTTAAGGTTATTGTCATCTTCACGAAAGACGTCAATGTGACTGGTCATGTTTCGACGTCAATGTCATCACAGATACTATAAAGATAGTCATATATCTAAACGATACGTCTTTACTCAACTATTTAGTCATGCATGTATACTAGAACGACGCTTAAGTTTTCTCTGATACACATGTATCTTTACAGTACGTGTCGATGTTTTTCTCTTTATGACATACGAGATAGATGTCATTGTCATTTCGCCGATTCGTCACGTCTTTATACCACTACTTAATCTAGCTACAACAGAGACATATCATGTGTCCACAGTATGATGTTGTTTCTAAGAGTCATCGATGCAGTAGTGGTATTTCATTTCTCAATGTTAGTCTCTTTCCTCAACGTTAACCGGAAAAAGACTATGATAGAGATTGTGTGTCTCGATATTTAAGATGTCCTAACGTATTTACTCATGGCATAGAACGTGTTGAATAATATTGGAAACACGTCAAGCTTATAGTCATCATATTTTTTCAATAAATATTGTTGCTCAAGATCATCACCATCTTCTAGAGGCGTCCAGGTCGGGATACATGTTCACCATGTCTCCATAACATCGATATCGTTAAACATCATGAAGAGACGTCCAGATAATGACAGATGTATCCGATGTTTTTCACAGACACGTAGTAGTTTATAGTTGAGGTGCTTCGTTGTTATCATTGGTATGAAAAAAGGAACATAAAGATTATGATAGAAGTATTATATGGAGATACAAGGCGATGTACTATATAAACTTGAGATAATATAACGTATAGTCATCTGGAGCACTCCAATATTATCAATCTTTAACTTTGAAGCCAGTATAATTGGTGTTGTTTAAAC